ATTTGGATAAGCTTATGGGGCAAGTCTGATGTCTGTAGCACTAACCGTTCGTGAGTTATGCATGCATGAAGGCGTAAATAAAAAAAACGACCGGTATTCCGTCTCTCGCCAAGCTAGCTTTTTTCCTTTAGTAAATTGGTTTGACATTAGGAGGATGATTGATAAAAGGAGAAGCAGATGACTCGCTAATAGAGCTTGAAGAAGATGATTCAGAAGATGAACCAGGAGAAGACATAATGCCGGATAAAAAAGCCCGAAGAAGTTAAAGAGTTAGCCTAGAGAGAAAAGATGGTTAAACAAGGCAGGAGTTGATTCAGCAAGATTAAAGCAAAGGAGATGCCAAAAGCCAAAAACCAATAAAAAATATCAAAAAGACTGATGCCTATGTGAAAGCCTAAGAAATTGACCCAAATATGATCAAGAAATATTAAATTTCAAGAGAAAGCCAGAGATAGAAAGCCCGAAAAGCAGTCAGAGAAATCCCGACAGCTAAGAACCTGGAAGGCCAAACCAGAAAGCCAAAAAGATTGAAAAGAATAGGCCAAGAGACTGGAGAAAGAGTCAGCAACAGAACCAGACATGAAAAACAGAAACAGGTAGACCACGGAAGATTGCCCAAATGTAAATATAGCTGGAAGAAAAAGAGATCGAAGACTTTCCAATAATGGTAAAGCTTTAAACTTCTTAACCATGTGAATCGTGACCCATAAATCATAGGACCAGAGGTGAGTTAGATCAAATGTGCCGAGCCTATCTACGATCAAAATCATTTGTTGAATGCAACCAAGAGATTTTAACAAATTTTATGCAACATGATACTTTAAATTTACCGAACAATAATGTTAGAAATCACACAAATAATAACTCACAAGTTCTTGGAAACCCGGATACAAATTTTCAATATAATGATTTTATTGTGACGTTATTGTCATAGAGATAGACTGTATTGTAATCTATCACGAATTCAAGAAAATTCAGGTTCATCATAGTCAAGGATACAAGTCGAGGATCTTGCTGTTTCATACAAACATGAATTTAATTTATTTTATGCAATAGTTAAATTTTTCATGAGGTCACATCAAGAAATTCATGAAGAAATATATGCTGTTGTTAACGATCTACAAGTTTTTGATAGTACGTTTATTTGTCAGACGGCATCCAACCAACAGTAACTCAATTGCGTTCACCATTGGTTAAAAATACAGGGCATTTCAGCTAATTTTTGCCGTTGCAAAACAGTTATTACTCTGCACTAGAGTGACCTTGAGGTTAGATATTTTATTTATGAAAATTCCAGCGATACTCAATTTTCATATTTCAAGGTCAAGGTTATTCGAGGTCATTGCGTTTTTTGACCTCTAACTGATATTTGGAGATCATTTTTGCAGAGTGTAAAAATTTGCAGATTGGCTGATGCTTGCTTCAAATTAGTATCTTATACCGTTGGAAAGATGCATGCACTTTTCTTAAAATCAATTGATCAACATAACAATGTGTAAACACTTATATCTTTTGACCAGCATAACGTATGAACATGCCACTAGCATCAACCAAACTGAAAATTTTTGCTTTCTCAGAAAATGACCTCCAAATAGTAGTTAGAGGTCAAATAACGCAATGACCTTGAATGAACTTGACCTTGAAATATGACATTGAGTATCGCTAAATTTTCCATAAACAAAATATCTAACCTCATGGTCACGCTAGTGCAGAGTAATAGCTGTTTACAGCAGGAAAATTAGCTGAACTGCCCTGTACTATGAATACATTTTTCAGAAAAGCAAGAACTTCTTCAAGTTTGAAACTTATCAAGCTCTTTGTTCAAACGAAAATAAAAAATTATGTTACATTTTGCATCCAAGTATTATGTATGTTATTAACAAATTCTTGATAGACCCCGTCAGTGAACTTCATCTTGCAATTTTGATCCACGATCTTGATTGATTCATGTTGGTTCATCAAGAAACTTCTTAGATTACAAAAAATCTCAACCCGGGCTCCTTTAGTTTATTGTCAATTAGACTCACAAAGAAAATGCCGAAATGAAAAACACCTGCAAAGTATTGAATTAACAAATGATCCAAACATAATAAATAAATTTTTCAACGCCTCCTTAATTTCATAAAAACATAAGATTCAATTATTGTATTCAAAAATTGCATCGCGTTTACACAGCTTTCAATTTAAAGCAAAATTTAACTAATCCGAAAGCTTTCTGCCAATGATTCCGATAAATTTAAAGTATAGAGAAAATCAAAAATTACTAATGAAAATATTGTAATAAAATGTTAATATTGTTTCATCTTGGTTTGCTATTTAATCAATAGTAGTAGCTCTTTTTTGTTGGCTTTTTCATAGAAATAAATATTGATTCTCGTTAAAAAAGTGGAACGAGATTAAAAATTGAAGTTATTCAAAAAAAATCAATCAGTCATGATGGTGATTACAATGAGCTTGAAAAATGATCACAACCTATAGGAATTTTGATTATTATCATCCAAAAATCCCATATTTATCCTCGCATTAACTAAAATTGGAGGTGAATGGGATGGAACTGTTGTATTATTAACTGGTAAAGCAGTTTGATTTGATGAATAATTTGATGATATTGGTTTAGATGATTCGACGTTTAAATGTTGCTCATGTAAATGATTATTGGAACCATTCATCTCAAGAGTGTCAACTTCATCTCTGGCACTTCCAGAATCTTCAATATTTTCCGTAATCGTGAAAATTTCATAAACTGTAGGCCTTTTATCATTATGATTGGGATCATCGATTCTCCTTAAAATAGTATTAGTTGGTGATGCATAATTAGATATATAATCTTTATTCTCAATCCAGGATGGAAATTCCGATTGTTTCAATGGACCTGAATTGGAAGGAGAGGATCCATTTGAATTCATTGCCCCGACTGGATCAGTAGTACTTTTCCTTCTCCAAGGTAAAGTCGCTTCAGTGGTTGTAGTAGGTGAATAAATTGACTTTATCTCTATTTTTTCTTCATCTCGATTATTTGGTCGAGCAACAAAAATGATTCCTCCGTCATCAGGACTGTTTAAAATAGACGGGAAACTCGCAGCTCTACCTACTTAAACGAATAATATGAAAGAAAAAAATTAGTACAAACAAAAATACTGGACTGATGCTTGTGCAAAAGACGATTAAGATGAATTACCGAATCTTGAATTGATGCTTAGATGGTTCGGTCTTTGGTTTAAATGTTCATCAGTGGTTCGATTATTATGATTATTACTTGAGCTATTATTGCTATTAGTTTTCTTCTTGTTCCGACGCCGGTGACGAGTTTGATTGACTAAATGGCGAACCTCTAATTTAGCTTGATGCTGGAAAGTTGATTGAGGCGAAACATCAGCTAAGTCCGTTTTGCTGTATTTACGATACTGTAATAAAAATAAATAAATTAATTTTTTGCAGTAAACAATTGTTTAAACAATGAATGAATATTTAAGTCAACAGAAAGTTAAAGGAATAGAAATTAAAATTGCTCTCAATTTGATCATAATTGTCAATCTGGAAGATTACTAACAAAAAGTGCAATTTAAAAATACAATAAAAGGATAATACAAATGAATATTTTACCCTTTTGACTGGTTTAAAGACATTATCACTAAGAATATGGTGGACCTCGAAATCAACGAGATCACGTTTAGATGGATTATATTCAATGTTTCCAACATCAAAATTGAAATTGGTCGATACATTATGATCCATTGGAAGATTGGTGAAATAGTTAGGCTTAAGGTGTCCTGAGTCAGTTTGTTCATTGGATGAAGAAAGATTAGCTTGCGTGTAGGAACGAAATAATGAGGATAATGATTTAGTTGTCGGTAGATTATTATTGTTTAAATACAACGAAGGCACACTCGACTCTTTCACCATATTAATTGCATCCTGCATATTCAGCCGAGAAATTGTTTCAAATATTTTACGGGATGAAGCGGATCTATCATGAGATTCACGAAGAAGCCAATGTTTGAGATATTGATTGTCAAAATGACGGAATCTAGATGAAAAGAGAAGAGATTGTGAATTAAAATACAGGAAACAAATTATGCTCTTATATTAATTGTATCTAACTTACTTGTCTCTTATTTTGTAATTACCGACCATCATTCCAGAAATATCTTCAATTCCAGCCATTAAGTGGTCCATGAGCTATTCATTAAGCATAACAAGATTCAATCAATTTATTCAAATGTACATTAGTATATTTTATTTACCCTTTCGTGAACTCTTTCATTCATTGTCTTCTCATATTTATTGCTCCTTGGTACTTTCAATATCTTCACCAGTGGACCAACAGTCATGCCTGAAACAATATTGATTGATTAATGTTGAGTTGCATTAAAACGGAATGATTAACAATCTTTAAAAATTGGCAATAAAGTACGATTTACAGTTTGATATCAAATATTTTCTAGATCACGAAGAGTTTGACATTAAAAAGTCATGATCTTGTTTGTTTCATGGTTTTGATACTTTATTTTGAAACTTCATTGATTAGTTAACTAGTAAATTGTATAATCGTAGCTTCGTAAAGATTTATTGCTATTCTAATAGTTCCGTTTGCTTGATTTAAGTGACTTCTGAGTATCAAAGTAACAATAGTAATTTTGAAAAGACTTCCTAATCAAATGAAGGCCTTAGATTGACCCATTTTCATGCCATTTTTACCAATCAACGGATTTAGATTACCTTAACGAGATAATTAGTTTAGGCAAACATTTACTCTTTCCACTTTCAATTACTTGTTTACAATTTACATGTAACTATCTAAATAAAGTTAAATAACAATGAGAACAATGATTTATCAAATGACTATTTTTTACTGACTTATTGCTATTTAAAGGTGAATCAAACACCAAAGTATGAATTTAATAATAAGAAAGTTACTGTTTTTAGCGAATAGAAATGTTCAGATTCACCTTAAATTGAAACAATTCACGGTTCATTGAATAATTACTTTTCTCTTCTACCTGTTATGCTTTTGATTATCGCTAAAGAAATGAAAAAACACCTTATTTGCTGACAGTCTCTATTTAAGACCGATTATGTTTGACAAAATCAATATTTTGATCATATTTCATTTCAATTGAACTGAACTGAATAATAATAAACAAGTTAACTGGCTTAGAATCTAGTGATTGTAATGATTAAACCATTCACCAATAAATGCCAATCCAGATTGTGAATAAACAATCAAGCTTACCTTGCAAGAAAACGGTGAAATAAACAAGAGCAATCACGGTAGTAACCATCATACGTTTGGTAGGAACTAACTTTTCATTGATTAATAAAACCAATGCAAAAGCAACTGCACCTCTTAACCCTCCATAAGCCATGATGAATTGCTCCATTCCACTTAAACGGTGTAAACGAAATCTGTTTGCGATACTTGTGAATATTATAACACCTAATTGTTGGGAGAAGACAAAACTGGATTATTAAATTGAATGTAATTATCACCAATTGTAAAATCGTTTCATTAGAGATCCAATTGATAGCTTCGATTATCAAGAATTGTTTTTCTTTAACATTTTGATAATCACAATAAATTGTCCTCATTAACAAACAATTTCACTAATTGCTAATTGTTTAAATCATTATTGATAAAGCATGAAGTTTAAAGTATGCTTTCATCGTTTCCCTGAGATGAGGAGAAGTGATTTGCGATCAACTTTGAAACAGTTCAATATCATTTTACAACAATAATGGTTAAATGTTTACCTAAAGCTCTGAACACTAAACAAGCTCCGATTGTCGAAAGGACAAATGCTGTATTCCAATTATGGCTATCAGTAACAGTACAGACTCCAAGAAATAAAAATATCACCGATTCTGATGCATTGGCCAACATTTTCATAGCATATTTCAATGTTGTCTGGGAAGTTTGGCTAACGTTTTCCGTTACATAATTTTTCATTGTCATCCCCGAAAAGGTTAACCTATTAAGTAAGGATAAAAAAGTGAAATAATATAAATTAAATGTTCATTTTGATCGAGTAATATCAAGCTTCTGACTTTTGATGATCTTCAGCTATGGGTCAACTCCTGGTCATAGGGAACTGTTAACTTACGCCAAAATTCCTGAAAGGTGGAACATTTCAGCTGATAAATAGGCCAGAATTAGCATGCAAATAGATTTCTGATGATCTTCAAGCTTTGGGTCAACTCCTGGTCATAGGGAACTGTTAACTCACGCCAAAATTCCTGAAAGGTGAAACATTTCAGCTGATAAATAGGCCAGATAGGACATCACAAAGACGAAAATTGGCTCAATTATTTTTACATGGTGGGTAAACCTTGAGACAAAAGCAGCACCGATGCCCCAAAAAACTCCAATTAAGGTTCCTCCCAGAGCGATGACAAAAAAAGAGGTTATCCCACTGATATAATCAATTGGTAATAAGTTATCTGCTCCCATTTCAATGTAACCTTCAAACATTTTGTAAAGAACCTGTTATTATCCGGTAAATCAGCATCATGGTTGTTCAATAAGGAGATTGAGCCATAGAGACATGGGATTAGAAAAAAACAAAAAAATGAAAGAGTTATAAGAAATATATTCGTATATATGTTATTGTTTTACTTATTTTTCAATGACTCAATCTTTCTTTAGGCTTATTGAGATTTAAAGACGCATAATATCGCTTTACATTTTAGTTTAATTACCAATTGAGTCATTTTATTGATTAATTAATCTTTTTACGTTTCGACTGTTAATAAATTTTACTCCTTTAACCTTCGACTATTGTATTATGAAAGTGTTTTATTATTGTTTCAACTTTAGATCGTCGAGTTATTTTAGTCTCTTCAAGTTTATATCATTGAATCTAACAGATAACATTATCGATTGATATTGACTGATGGTAATTATTTTCATTATGATGATGATAATGATAAAAATAATACTCGATTAGACTGGACATGGATGTGGAATGATATTCTATTGAAATGATAATTTCATAGTCTCATGAAATCTAAAGTCAATATACATGTAGTAATCATACACTTCATACATATCATCAGTTTTGTAACAACCTTTTCAACCTTAAAGTTGGTCAATTTAATTTGCATCAACTAATAACCATTAGATCAACCTAGAAAAATATTCATTAATTTCATTGACAAAATGATTACAGAACTGAAATTTGATCTGATTCACTCAAATGAATTCAATTCCGTTCCTGAGATTTTGCATGTCCATTATTCACATAAATTATACACCATTTACTATACAAATTACCCTTTAAATCCCTGACATATTAAAATCTTATCACAAGATGACAGTTAATGGGTTATTTGTTAAGCCTGAAGAGTCAGTCGATCAGAAGGTTTAGTCTAGTGATTTTTTACATCCATCTATTCCGTCACTCGATTTTACTCACCACTGTGACTCCATCATTAAGCAACGATTCGCCAAAGACTAGGATATAAAGGACATCATTGACATGAATCTCTTCAAAAACAGCTAAAACAGCAACCGGATCAACGGCTGAAACTATTGTACTAAATAGCAGAGCATCTAATAATGGTAGACTGACTCCAAAAAAGCCTGAAGTTGCGACCCAATAAAGTACCGCTCCAATGGTGAGAGTGTTCCAGATGGTTCCAAGAACGGCATACATTAATATGGAATTCAGATTATCGAAGAAAAGTCGATTTGGCATGTGATAACCAGCATCCATAACAATCGGTGGTAACATGTAAAAAAAGAAGACATCTGGAGTAAGGAGGGACTGATTGGTGGACACTCCACCGTAATAAAATACCAGGCCAATTAAAACGCCAAGCACCATTAAAACGACGCTCTCTGGGCATATTGAGGATAATTTTGGAGTTAAATTGAAGCCTGAAATAAAAAATAAAAACAGGATTAATACAAATTGCTCTAATGGGCAAAAAATCTTGTCTAGCAGCAACGACATTGTAATCATTGTTATTCAATTTCTTATTGTAATATTTTCTATGAATAAAATTGATTAACAATTGTAAGTCATTCAATGAAGAGGAAAACGACAATCAATGAATCATTGTTTCAATTAACAGGATTGTCAACTTTACTCTTTTTCAATTGAAAGATCGATTAACTATTTGATTTGTACCTAATTGATTTTAGTTAAACGTATGTAAGGTGTAACTAAGGAGTGGTTCCTGAAAAATTACACAAATTTTGAAACAAATTCAAATTTGTTAAGTTTCCTCGAATGAAGGATTCTATCACTCAAATCGACAAAAATTCAATGCACTTTTCAGATAAATAATATAATTTTTAATCAAAATATTTAATTAAATAGCAAAAAGTGTCTTAAATTCAATGCTTAGTGCAATTCAATAGTTCAGTTTTGTCAAATCCGATCCAAGCTATGGACCAAGTATGAACCAAGTGGTGTTTACAATTGGTTTTAAAAACTCAGAAATCCTTGATTAGCTGTTTAAACGCTATTAAAAGCATAGCAGCATTTCAAGTTTAAGCAAACCAAGCTCAGGTCGAATAGGCGCTAAAATAGTTAAAAGCGTCTGCTTAAAATTGAGAACTCTATTGAGAGATTTACTGGAAATGGTCTTTTCGGTCAAAACTAAAGATTGGCCAGATTATTTATTAATAGATCAACCTAAATTGTGACTCTCTGGTAATGTGAATGCTGACAATTAGCTATTCAAAGGATGGATTGTTTGATTAGTTGTCATGATTGATTGGTAATGAGATTGAATTGAAAGTTGTTCACCAAAACCGTTTAAATTGTTAGCGGTGAAAAAATTGTTAACAATCCAAAGTTCTTGAAAGTGAAAGGAAATATGATTAAGCTGTTTGAATTTTAAAACAGTTAAACACGAAAATTAATGGACCATAATATCAACAATTTATCGATTAATAAGATAAACAACTTCCGTACCAATTGTTTTAAGTTTATTTTCACCTTTCAAACAGTTAAATCAACCTAGAAACAATTGAATTACATGAAGGCAAAGGCAATCCTGTAAACAGTTTTCAATCTATTAATATTTTTCCTTTCAACATTGTGAATTAACCAAGTTTCTGTTATTGCTGTTTAACCAAAATTTGCAGATTGAGATGTTAATAAAGTTGATTGATTTAGAGGCTAATACAATAAATAATCAGTTAACTCATTTAACAATTGAGTTGTAAAACAGTGTTTAAAACACCCTTGTTAACAGGTTGACAAGAGTGACTTTAATTGTTGTTTGTTGTGTGTTTACTGTTGTCGAGATGAGACTTAAATTGTTGCCACTCAAATGATTGAGAGAAGATGCAGTTTAACCTCAAAAATAAATCACTTGAGTAAATCTAATTTAGGTTTACAGTTTACGTAATCTGTATTGTTTCAAATGATTATTAACCAGAATGGTTAGCTGGTAATCCTTTCAAAGCTGGGTAACCAGATTTAAGGATTCATAATCACATCAGGAAACATTCATTAAAATCAATTGTTTCAAGGAAGTAGTGATCATCTGATTCAAATTATATCAATGAAAGGAATTAAAGGGATTAAAAGATTGACATGAGTTGTTTTACACTTGAACATATTCCTATTAATCTGAACCTTGATCAATGATATCAATGTCAACAAGCAACAGATAGTTTCTCTGTAATTAAACAGCTATTAACTTGATTTTGAATGATCAAACAAAGATCAAAGTTGCTTGACAAATTAATGTAAAAATAATTATGATCGCTACAACAATCAAAAAACCTAATAATGATGGATTTATTTTTAACTTTTTGTTTCACTTCATAATTCTGGACGAAACATTAATCTTTGAATAAGCAAGAAAAATGAAAGAACCAGAATGAACACAAAATAACCCAAAACAGGTTCATTTTGATGCAAGTTAATGATAAAACTTAATAGAATATTATGTCAACCATTTTGTCACTATTCATATAAAGTTGAAAATCATTTCAATTTAGTAATTGTCTGCATCAGATAACTAACAATACTGAGTAAATTGCTATTTAATGATAAAAATAATATTGGTAAACAATGGAAAGGTAACGGGAAAAATTCCCTGAGATCAAAACTGACAACTGAAATAAGAAAAGTACTAAGTTGGAAATGAGCGAGATGTCCATTAAGATGATAGCCATAATTGACCAGTTTTTGAATTCAGATAAATTAGTGAAATCGAGCCTTAATTACATTGGTCTAATCTACAGAATTGCCTCAAAAAATGAAGAAACATTATAAACATGGAGAAAGAATGAAGAATAATCAATCAAACAATTTGTCAACACAAATTGTTCAAGGTTGAAATTTAAATTCGATATTTGTAAATGTTCAATATCTTCAAGGTTTCAACAATTTGTTGGATATTAAAAGCTGAATTTTCAAAATTTAGTGAATTCGACTAATTTTCATCCTTTCAAAGAGTTTAAAACCAACAATCTGACTGATATTACTGATAACAATTACTTGGGACTCACCTATTTTAGCGACACCAACAATTATAATCCATAGACAAATAATGTAAGGTTGTGACACTTTTTCAAAATCAAATTTAGCTATTGCATAGCGTTTGGTTGAATTATTGTTGGTACCAATGGCTGCTGCTGATAATACCTCAGCATCCAACTCTAAACTTTGTTTTATTGATTGAAAAGGATCGCCAATTATTGAACTTGGGACACCTGATCCGGAAGCAGCGAGATAAAGGCTAATTATAATTAGTGGTACACAAAGTTTGTACATGATTTTGTTGATTATCAATAGAACAGAACAAAACACAAATCACTTTTTGATTTCTCTTTCAGAACATCCTGTGTTTGATTTTGTATTTCATTAGGTGACACTCGATATTTTGCTTTTCAAATGCTGATTGTCGTTACGATTATGCTTTTGATTATGTGATTGTGATTATGAATTTTTATGATTACACAATGAGTTTATGACAAGCGATGTTGAACAATAGTCTTTTCATTTTCGGCTTTTGAGTAATGGTGCTGTCCAGTGTCGATGCATAAAGAAGTCCAATTAGAGTTGTCAATGAATTTTTAACTTTAGCAGCGACCAGTGTTGGTTAAGGTTTTGACCGTAAATTGAATGGATCTGTATTGAACATCAGAAAATGGAAAGGATGAAAAAAAGTATATTTCATGAGTAAATGAAAACAATTTGTTGTCAATAAACAGAAACTAAATGGTAATCAATATTGTTAATGAAGGTAGTGTTACATGAAATCTAGAAATTTAAATTGTGCAGATCAATTAAAGAATGACTCTTGATGTAAACTGATTTCTGATAATTTGATAGCTTTCGATTTTAAAATGACTTTGCTGATTCTGGATTTCAATTGAAATTATTGGAGACATTGATTGACTTGTGTATTTCTTTGGTTGCTGAATTTCTTGACGTATTTAGCAATGAAAAGAAAAGATCAGGCAAGCTTTCTCGACAGTTTTAGCTGCTCATCAACTCTGATTTGCAATTAAACTTGTCCAAATCTCTAAAGCAACACATTAATGGACCTTGTATTTTTAAACTGATAGAAACTTGAAAATAACGATGATCTAAATTAAATGAGCATCTATTTATCCCCATTATTTTCAACACAATCGTCATCATTGTGATTAGGGTTTTACGGTTAAAAATGGTTATATTTTTAACCATTATAATAACGGTACAATACAATACTTTTTTTGACACTTTGCCTGATCTTGTCACATCATGTTTTTACCGCTAAAGGGTGATAGAAGAAAAGCAACAAAAGATCAACTTTACCTTTTGTTTATTGTTTAATCCGTAACTTGTTGATTTAAAATGATTAAGTATGATGACCAAATTTTCAGGTTGATATTTTAATCAGCGGCAATAGTAGGAACATTAATACTGGCTAAGGAACAATTTGATTTGTACTTGTGGGTAGTAAATAAATAATTATATCATGTCATTTGGATTTCTCCATTGTCCATCCAACAATGATCCATTGAAGCAGAGGAGTGATACAATTGTAAGGTAACACCAATAAATAGCACTAAATAAATATTACATTAAAAGTTGGTATAACAGGTAAAATGGACCAGAAATAATAATCCGTTCAATGAAAAAACATGGTTAAAGATTGGCAGAAAAATGAAAGTAACACAAGAGACATTTTAAGTTGAAATGAGAAAAGAGAAAGACGGTTGAAATAAAAATGTCGCTGTTAAGTTAAGTAGACTGTTAGGCGGGAAACAATGGCCAACGTTTGTGATGATGAAGAGTTGAAAATGAATTGAAGGCGAAACTGTCAGAGTTTGAGTTTTACTCTTGGAAGAAAGGGAAAGAAATGAAGACAGAGATGATTAAGAGAAGATTTATGTTGCCCTTAAACTTGATTATTAATACTGTATTAGTTGATTCTGTTTTTCCCAGTTAAAAGGGTTTCTCTTAACACTTTCAATTGTTAACTGGTAATACGGTTTGTTGGATTGTTAACCAAATGATATTTCATTAGGTTATGAGTTTAGTGTTGATGAAGAGAGTAGGAAAGAGGTGGAAGAGGGTGGAAGGTGGGCTTCAGTTATACTGAAGGAGGGATATCAGGAAAATAAGTGAGCAGAATCATTGAACGAAGGTAACAGTTTTCATGACTAAAGTCAACTTAAAATGTATGACAATCAATCGTCTTATTGTGTTTCTGTATTGTTTGTCTGTTAATGCTGATTGTCCAAATGTCCCTTTACATGGCTTTCCCAACTTGACCAAATTGATATTTATTTGAATCATCATTTGTCATTTCCGTTAATGAAAAATTGATTATGACAATCAGCAATGATTTATTTATGCTAACAGGTTATTAATTTTCAAATCTGCAAAAATAACTTCAAAGGGAATCTTAACTGCTCAAGAAATCGAGTTTTAAATAATGTCTTCAAATGGCAATGTTTTGAAAATTTTTATTCAATTCATTGAGAAATTATTGAAAGCTCATTTAAACACCATTATCATTCAGACTCATCAAGATTTCGTTAATATACTAATCATCTGTTAAATACATTGTAATCACAATCAGAATCTTTATGCAACCCAGTTAAATCATCTTACAAATGTTACAATTGGTACAGTAAGAGCAGTAGTGAGACCAGAAAACCAGAAAACCAGAAAATGAGAAATCTTATTCCAAATGTATTTAATTGCTATAGACACTGGAAAAATTGCGACTAATCATATTTACAGATTAATTAACAGCTTGATTAAATCATTTGACTCAATATTTGTTAATCAATTGATTTCTGGTTGAGTTAATTGTTGAGAGACTGTTGATTCCAATAGACCTTACTTTCTAGTTGTTCAATGTTTACAAATAAAACCATGTAAATCATTCTCTAACCTTTTTCACTGAACAATTTATTGAACCATTTTTCCTTTCATCAATATTTCTTGATTGTCACTATTAATCAACTGATTAACTTAATAGTCGATACTCATTGAAGTTTACCTTTTGTTTGATTTTAAGCTTCATTCAAGCCATTCAATTGCAATAACAATTATGATTACAATAGCGGCTACAATTGATCATAATTCATATGATAGCTTTTCAACACCTTGACATCAATTAATCATTTTGTCCTAAATTGTAAATTTTAAGTCTTTCAATAATTTAATTTTAAAAGGTAAGTAAAGGAAGAGGAAGTTAATCAATTGAGCAAAGGCTAAAGTTAGAAGTCATTTGATTAATGTTAACAATTGCCATTACAATCAATGACAACATTTGTAAATCACTAAAGACTCCAATGATTTGGAAGAGCTAATTGTTTGCAATTACAAATTTGCTTTTTAATTGAGTTGACAAAAGTTAAACTTGAAAGTTCAATGGTGATGATAATTAATCAGTTGATTCAACTTCTCACTTTCAGATAATTAATCCCAATCAATTCGATCATTCAATTCAACTTTTAATTGTAGTTTTTGTTGAAACTATTTTTTAATTTTGCTTGAAAAAAACGATAATTTAAGCTTTAAATTCAAGAAGATTTTTTTGCTACACTTTTAATTATTTAATTTGACCCTTCAATATGTTTGCCAATCGAGTTAATTAACTCCAACTGGCAAACAATCAGTAAGTGATTAACAGATAATTGATGAATCTTTTGAATCTTTCATTGGAATGGTTTACATTTTAAATGTTAGTCTGACTTGGAAGTGAATTTAAATTTAATTTGAGATGCTAATTGTTCAATTATCAAATTGCATTCACAGTGATATTTTGTTGGATCCAATAATTTTTTTGACAATTTTTACGAAATTAAAATTTTCTTTTTGTTTTTGGGTTTATTAAACTTGGGTGCGTCTCTTATCATCAAATCAGTCTTAATCAATTCAGGATTATCTTCATCATCATGAGCATAATCATGAACATCATGTATACACATCACCATGATGATCATCATAATTCTGTTATTGGATTATTGATTGATCAAAGATGACGTTAACGCCCAAGAGACTGCAATTTTACCTGAAAATTGAGTTTTCCATTCAAGATGATTACGTTATTATTGCAGTTAAATATTTAATTTTACAAGATTGACTATCAATCTAATTGAGACGATAATTAACTAATTAAGTATTAAATAAGAATTGTAACCGAAAAAATGGTTTTTCTCAAGTTACATTGAAGTCTGTATTGGAAAACCAGAATTACATTGAACAGTGAAAATATTTGGGTTTAGATCAGTTTACTTTTCAATGGTTTATCCCAATAGTGATCAAAGTTAATTGTAGCTCTTAAATGTTACAATTTAGTGTTTGATTTTTTCATTCATTGATATCTAAATTGGTTTATTTAATTGTAAAGTGTTTGGTTCCTGAGAAGCTTATGTGGAGTTGAAATAAAATCAATTTACATGATTTATTTATGATTATTTTTTTGCTTCTTCCCTAAGCTGACTAATAACTTTTTAATAATGAATAATAATACCAATTAAATGATAATAACAATAATGATAGAGAAGAAATAGCCTTAAACAGGTCAAATGAGTTTTTATTTGACCAACTGACTGGTCAACAAGTGGTAACAGGTCAAAATTGGGTAACGATATGGTCAATAAGATAACGAGGTTAACTCAAATTATTGTTACATTTTTGAAGGTCTTTACTATGGTCACTTTGATGTTCAAAACATTAGATGAAACCAGTGACAGTAACCAAAATAACCAGGATTTTAAAAACAGATTTGGATTAGTCAGCTGTTGATTTATAATTAAGGCAAAGTGAGGCAACCAAGGTAAAGGTTGGTAACTGGAATCAAGATACTCTGATGTTAAACTGAACTTTAACCAGATTAACCAGAATAAAATGTATCTAATTGTGAAACAAGGTTGTCGATGTAACCAGCACATTTCTTTACTTTCACTATCTTTATCCGTAGGATTTACTAGATCTCTTTATGTTCATCATAAGTCTGTATTTGTAACAAATTCAAGAAACTGATTAACTTTCATAATTTATCGACTTTAATGTTAACTCTTCCCTTTTCCCCTGTAATACATTTGCTTTGTTAGTTGATGAATTAAGCTTGATTTTTACATAAACTTGGTCAAAATGAGTTGTCCAAGAAAAAGTAACCAGAATATTCCAGGTTTTGGTTTATGATAAAAAAGGTTAGGCCAATGGTTATAAGAGCAAAGAAGAACCAGAATCTGATTTATTGGTCAAAATCTGGTTTCGAATTGTTTAACTGGTAAATGATTAAATAGCTAGAGTGACAGTTTTGATGCTCTTCATTATTTTTTTGCTTGAGTTAAGATTTACCAGATTTACCAGAAAAAGATATGAATGATTCTTGTGTCATCTCATTCATGAATAGTAATAGTAAAACTAACCTTGAAGATTCATTGAAATTTTTCTCAATCATTTATTATCTTTGATTGTTTCAAACAGATTCTGACATTTGTTGGAAACAATTTAAGCTCATGTTTATCTATCCATAATATGACATGTCATATCTCTCTCTATGACAATAAGACAGATTATTTCAACTGAAAAACGGAACCAGAAAAAAAACCTTTCTTCTTCTTACAAATTCTTGTTAGCAAATCTTCTTGTGCTAAGACAAAATCACATTCATCTGGTTGTTGAACAAGTTAATCATGGATAACAATTGGTGGATTATGATTGTAATTGCTGGGAGATTTTATCAATACTTTTAATGGTTTATGGAAAATAATAATACATTAAGATTTACTTGATTACTCTCAACTCTTTCCGTTCGCATATTTTTTGTTGTCTTATCATTTTGCATATTCATCACCAATATTTGATTCACTATTTTTGAGGACAACAATTAAAAGATCAATGATATTGTTCATTATTGTTTTATTTACAAGGTTAACTTCATCTTATCTCAACTCTTTGTTTGCTGGTTTTGACAACAATTTTCAATTATAACAATAATTAAGTGAAATTTCCTTTAAATCTACATCAGATTTAAATTGTTGATGCTTTAACCACTGAACAACTATTCAATTTCATGCCAACTTTCACTGTTTCATGTAAAATCGTTTGTCTTGTTGATGAGACATTAACAAGTCTTCATTACATCTTTGTATTGCTTGTATTGCTTGTGATTTTAATCATCTTTTCATTTCGAAATCACATTCAACTGATTATGTCGTACAACAATTGTGATTCCATTGTGGTCAACAGTGACCACAAATTTACTGGTACATATAAAGTCACAGCTTTTGCTTTTGGCTATTTTTGGGTAAAATGATTCTAAAATTTTCCTTTTAATTATTCTCAGCGTAAGACTAATGAATGTAGTCAAAGGTGTAATCATTCGAGCTCAACTTACATGGAGGCAAAAAGGGTTCTCATTGATACTCTGACAATAATTTATGTATTTATAATGATCCTGGTAATGATGATAATAATAACAGTAAGAACATTAAATGTGATTGTCGACTCTAAACAAAATAATTGAGTCTAATTCATGGTTCATTGGTTACCTCCAAGTTAATGTATTGTTATAATATCATTAGCAATCAACTTCACTTATGAAAATATTTCTCATAACGATATGTTTAATTTGATAAGTTTCAGTGTTTTTTAAATTAATTCAATTATAACTTGGTACTTTCAATACTTCAAGGTTTACATTGAATTGAAATTATCTCATTGATCACAATCAACCTTAGTGCCTTTGTTTGGCTGGAGTACCAGATAAGACAAGACCTAAGCTAACCTCGATCAACGCAAATTTGGGTAAAGTCATTTTACCAGCCATAATGGTAGCTGTAACAATTGACCACGATTAAACAATTTAAAATGTTCACCTTCGGTTAAAATTTAATCAGTATAAAAGAGAGTTAAATATCAGAAGTGACGAAGATGAGGCTTCCTATGGCTTTCCTTGGTAGGTCCTGGAGGGCATAGATTAATGTACATTGTCAATTGGTTATGTACTTTACAAGGATGAAAATTAACAATGATCGGTTAAATGTTCAACAATTATTCCTGAAAATGATCCATTCCTGAAAATGATCCAAGAAATGGGGTAATTGCTCAAATCGTCGGTGAAATAGATTGAGATTGAAATCAAATCCAACTGCAACTCTTAAATCACGGTATTGACTGATTTTCTCGTATATATGGTCACCCCAAAGAAACTGAATATCACGGTTAAAGAAGCGAGACAATCGTCTTATGGATTCTTCTGATTGTTTAGTTATATGGAGACAGCCTCGGACATCAATCCCAAATATCATGATCATGTAAACCCATATTATCACGGATGGCCAATTGTTTTAGGTTTAGGAAACGGTAGATTAATGGAAACACAGGATCTTCCGGCCAATATTCATCCTGAAGATGGATTGAAAGTAAAAATGAAACGTAATAAATAAATTGAAATTAAAAATATAAAACACAGGACATCCATTTGCAATGGATTTGCAAGCTCTAAATGATTAGTATGGAATTTAATCTGACTAAACCTTTCCTTTAACGACATTAAATTTTGATATCAATGAAAATTCAATCAGAAGCAGCAAAATACAAATCTGATAAAGTCGCAAAGTTGTAGCTAAAGATTCTCTCAACACGAGCTAATTTTTCTGGTTCAATCACAGATGTTGTCTTGGGTTTCATTTTAGGTTTAGGAATTGGACAAGCAGCTTTGAAATAAATGTTTTTACCGAATATTGAAGGACCATATTAATTAGATAGATATTATTTGTATTGTCCATATCGCCTTCTACCACGAATCGATCCAGGTCTTCAAATCTTAAGTAAAGGCTTTCAAGCTTGGGACACATTCTAATTACTCTGTCTAAATCAGCGATACTTTTAAAATCGAGTCTTTTGAATCCAAGTTCCAGGATGACCAAATTTTGGAAAGGTTCCTCAAACTGTTGAAGAAAATTTTCACCTAAAATGATGCAAAAATTTTAAACAAAAATTGAAATTAAAATTTGCAAAAGCAATCAGAATCTTATTCAGAGGCATACTGAAAACTGTAAGGAACGTAAAGCTTTTTTTAACCGATTTCCTATCATTTTTCAATCAGTGTTTGTTTCAAAATTACCGACAAAATCGTGAATATGGAGTCTCTCTAGGTGCAAGTGTTGTGATACAATTGCCAATGTCCGTTCATTTGAGTAGCGTATATACAGTTGTTTTAAACACGAGCAAAGAGGAGCCATTGCTTCAGCAACACAATTAGTTGACAACATTTCAATATCACCAAGACAATCATCAATTGAACCAGGTATTCGTCTATCATAACGTATTCCTTTGATATTTCTATTGTCTTTGGCTATGGTTCCAAGAGTTTCAGGGTCCATTTTGTATGGATCAATGATTTCTAGAATCTAGAATAAATTGAAACAAGAAAAACTATTGAAAAAAGTAATCAATAAAATGTAATATAAGTTAATATTCAATGGCAATTACCCTGAGATTTGGTAAATAAGGTACCAAATATTTAAGCGCGTAGCTAGCCATAACGCCTTGTCGATAGTACAAGATATCATTACCAATATTTTCTGGTTCTGGTTGGTTAAAAGAGGAATTCAAAAGCGGATATTGATAAGTTTAATTGTTCAATATGATGACAATTAGTTGCAATCTTGCTTACCTCCATTGTAATCATAAACTCCAATCAGATATTTCACCCAAGACATCCTTTGGAAAGCAATTTGTTCCCATAGTAAGCAAACTAGAATCACAAGAGTTTTCATTCGAATGTTGAACAAATTATTTTTTCATCTATCATTATTGATTAAGACAATCAAGATAAATTATAATTCAATTCTTACCTTTAGAGACACTGATGTAGTCTTCAACCCAAGGCAATTTCATAAAAATCAAATGTAATACTTCAACTGGAAGACTGTTTATATTGATCATTATGAATACAGCTGATACTTGTCTTGTTAATGTCTGTTCTGGAGCTGGTTAACAAACTAGGTAAGAGTAATTTGGATAGTTGATTGGTTGAATAAAAAACTGAATTAAAACCTGCAAATGAACAATTAGTTGCAAAGTGTACACGAGAAAATAATTTTAAATAAAACATAAACACTTTCTTCCTTGTTTTTTGGACTCACTTGATAGTTCAACTTGGTAGATAATTTTGGATCCTTGCCTATCCCAAGAATAACTATTTTGTGAGTACCAAAGATTCACTTATCAACTCATAATATAGAAGGTTTTACATCTCCATTCAAATCAAGTTCATGAGAATCTTGATCTATTTTGATCGGGCGAAATAATAAAACAATAAGTTTCAAAGCGATTGACGATTAATATTTTGAGTCTGTTGAGTTCTGAATCTTTTTGATGAGCCATTTCTCAGAAAATCATTGCTGGTAGTTAACATGGTTATAAAATTTTGATAAATCATTCCATAATTTTAGATAGGAATAGAGGTTTTTTGTATTATTTACATTTTTTATTGTTTTGTTTTCACAATTTATTTTAACTCGTAGTTGTGAATAGTTTGATTCATTGTCATTAGATGGAGTTGATGTTTGTTTACTTTTCCGTTACTCTGCATGTTTTGGCGACAAAGTTGTGATTATAATTTAAGATGTGAAACTAATTAAGTATATTTATATTTCTAATTAAAGGACCAATACAACTTTCTCAATGATTAAGAGTTGACCTGGAACAATTTGAAACAAAAGCTTGAAACTCGTTATCTCTGTTACCATTGCTTATGACTATAAGTTTCCGACTGTTTCAATGGATTTGAATCGTTTTGTTTCGGCTCAATTATATTTGTCAAACAATTTCGAATATATACAAACGAGCTTTACGCTATTAAGTTTTGATTCATTCTTCACCAATTGATTGTTTTTCAAAGCTATGTCTAGTTTTAATCGGAGTGAACCTTTACATTTGGTGATTATTTTCTCATTTTTTTTCACTTTTCCGATTTATTTGCTAATCAAAGGTTAAAAACTATTTTTTTTTGTTTCAGGTTTGCGTCATAGGAAAACAACAAATGGCTCCTGATAACCACAGCTGACGAAACTCATTACAGTCGTTATTCTCAAAATGTCACTTCGTGGGATTAGCCTTATTGTTATTTACGCAGAGTTTCACCGAAAAATAGCCTTTTTATGGTTTTTCAAATCAAGTTTTTGTCGTAATTTTTAATCCAATTAACCAAACTTTGGTAATTCATGTTGATTCATCATCAAAAAAATTTATTAACATTGAATTTTAATTATAATTAGATTAAATTTCGGGAAAATCTTACCACTGTTTGGTTAGTAACTAAGACAACGGACAATTTGAGATAGTGACATTTTGAGAATAACGACTGTACCTGTCTTCATGTTATTCCGTTTCATATTCTGCTGGATGATGCAAGTTCAAATATTCATATTGAGTCAACCAAGTAACCTGTAATAACCAATAATCTGAAATTCAAGCTAATCCTGACTTTTACTCAGCCCATTGAAAGTATGTGAAGTATGTCATCAATTAACAGCAATCCTTTGATAATCATATAGTTCATTTGATTGATTAAATTATGTGAATATGTCAAAGGTGTTAATTGTCATAACACTTGACAACTAAATGGCTGTTTTTTGCAATAAAATTGGCAAATTTATCCAAAAACAGAGAGGATAAAATCAATGATAAAAAAGGATTTAGGTGTAAATTGCTTCATTTTGGTCAACTGGATTCAAATTACAATCAGTTCAATCATAGATTTTAACAGCTTGAAATAGGCGTATAAAAGGAAGTCATCAAGTCCAATCTCTTTCTGGTTGTGTTTTGGTGCAGTTTAAGTTTACAGGTTAATCCTCCTGGCTGTATGTCCATGAATGATTATCTAGTGGAAATAAATTCAATGGATTCGTTATAACAATACTAGAAATCAACATTAATTATCAACAATAAACTATCATCATTTTTACAACACGATAATTTTTTACTTAATATGTTCATGTGATCAATGGTTTTCCAATTTTCAATGGCATAATGTTCCAGTTCTCATAGCTGTGACTCTTCGTTCTTCACCTTCAACTAATTGTTAACCTTTTTTTAATTTACGTTATAATTGTTTTTGTAATTATATCTCATAGACAACCTCATATTTTGTTAATCATCATAATAATTTTACAATTTTACCTCTTATTCAATTTGTGAAGCTCAACCTTTTTTGCTTGTGCTACTGTTTAACAAAGACCTAACAAAGTGCAAGAAAGTGTGGGAAATCTTCTGCTTCGCCATTTTTCAACAAAGAGTTTATTTGTTTACAATGTGGTTGCCAACCAATCTTAAATTAAATTGTATAATTTCAACCTTATTAATATATTTAATAGTTTATTGTGACTGTCGAACAGCAAATAATTTAAAGATCGAGAAAACTGAAACAAATATTGGACTCAATGGATTATGGCCGTCGAGAAGACCATCAATTCATTACATGCCTCTATCATCAGCTGCTCTTAGCCCCATGGTATTAAGTAAGTTTTTTTATTGATTATTTATTCAACTTTATTTGAGATTTCGTTGTTTTTAGACCATTTCATCGATGTTGTGATCCATTTATTCAATTAGATTGGTATGGTTTTGTTGATACATCATGAGTATAACAGCAATTTATTTACATTTTACTGAATTATGTGCTATGAACATCTGACCAGCAAAACTCCATGAATTTTCACCTTTTATTCCTAGCCAGAATTGATTCTTTATAAGGTTATTGTTAGCTTAGTTTATCCATAACAACATCAGTTCAATTGAACATATTTGAGGTTAACTATTCTACTGACTATCACAATTTCATCAGGAATTTACCATCATGAAATCAATGCAATTGTGTCTCAATACATAAAAATCTGATGTTGACAATCTACAATGTATTGTTATTCATAAGACAAATAGCGTGATGTTTTGAGTTAAATATTTTATTATTTTATTCACAATCAGAGACTAGATTGATTATCAAATAAGTATGATTCTGATAAAATAATCAATTATATAAGATATTTATGAATGGAGATGTTCGATCTTATCCTAAATGTTTCCAATAGATGAATTCATGACCAAAATCATAAGCATTGATGGTTCTGTGTAAGATAGATTTAAATTTCAAAAATTTATAATGCTTTAAGTTTGAAAATTTTTATTAATTATCTTACCACGATTAAATTTATAACAAATTTTATTTTTCATATGAATAATTAGTTCCTGGCGATGGAGGAAGTCAATTGGAAGCTAAAATTGACAAACCAGACGTTGTTCATTATTTTTGTCAGAAGAAATCCCCTGATTATTTTAGCTTGTGGTTAAATCTTGCTGATTTGGTTCCTTTTGTTGTCGACTGTTGGGTCGATAATATGAGGCTAGTTTACGACAATGTTACTCGTAAAACGTCAAATTCTCCTGGTGTCGATATACGCGTTCCTGGGTTCGGTAATACAACCAGCGTTGAATATGTTGATCCTAGTCAAGTTTCTGTTTCTGGTTATTACAATCAATTGGTAAAAGTCATGGTGGAAATGGGATATTCCCGTGGTAATACTATTTTAGGTGCTCCATATGATTTCAGGAAAGCTCCGAGTAAGATTGAAATTTCCGATTCTATCAACACACATCTCTAATTATTATCTCAACTTTATTTTGCCATTTACAGATGAAATGGAGGACTTTTACAATCAATTTAAAACTATGATTGAAAGTAGCTACACTAAGCTAGGGAAAAAATTGGTACTCGTTTGTCACTCAATGGGATGTCCGATAACATTATATTTTTTGAACAACCAAAAACAAGACTGGAAAGATCGCCATATTCGTTGTCTGATCAGTCTTGCTGGAGCCTGGGGAGGAGCAGTTAAATCATTGAAAGCTTTCACTTCGGGTGATAATTTAGGAGTCATTGTTTTACCTGCATTAAAAGTTCGTAAAGATGAGCAAACATTTCCTAGTTTAGCCTATCTTATGCCAACGGACAAATTTTGGCCACACGATGAGGTTATCATGTCGACAACCGAGTTGAATGTTACAACTAGCAATTACAAAGAATTTTTTGATCTTGTTCAAAATACTGATGGATATGAAATGTGGAGAGATGTTCGTAATCTGACTTATGAACTCAAACCTCCTGGTGTTGAAGTTCACTGTCTCCATGGAACTGGTATCGACACCATGGAATACCTAGATTATCGAAATGTAAAATTTCCTGATCATCAGCCAAAAATAACATTTGGACCAGGTGATGGTACTGTTAATGAAAGGAGTCTTAAAGGTTGCCTACGTTGGCAAACTCAACAGACGCAACCAGTTTTTTATAAAAATTTCACCAAAGTTGATCATATGTCCATTTTAGCGGATCCTTTGGTCATTGCTTACATTCGAACAGTTGTTACCGCAGAATAAGTCAATCTTCAGTCTATCCTTCGACCATTGATGGAACCGATGATGAAAACGGAAAGGGAGCTCAGTAACCATCTTCAAAATTCACATTTCCCTTTAAAAAATAATAAATTAAATTGCAATTTTATAATGAAATCTCCAAACAATCGATTTTGAGAGTGACCAAACGAGTAAATTTGCAAGAACAGATAACTCGAGATAACTCAAGCTTTTAAAGCAAAATTACAATTTAAAAAGGCAATTGTAAAATTTGATCACATCACAGGTGAAACACTGTAAAATGCACTTAGAATTAATCCAAAGTCAGTTTGAATTGACTGTATTCTGATCATAATAATCAGTGATTGCTTCATGGCAATACAGTCAGACGTTGAAATTAATTATACTTTTGCTATCTAATTTTCAAATACCAGTGATACATTGTATTACTCCAATCAATGCAGAAATAGCTTTTGTTTCTGGAAAGTCACAATAATTTATAACATAATAACTGTAAAATTAATTTGAATAATAGTTTGCCATAGAAAGATTAAATTTTTTACGCTTTTTTGTTAAACATTTTGCGTATTGTAGCAATTAAAAGATGTTTTGTTGCGGATTCTTCCACTGATTAATCATAATCTAAATAGTTAAATAAAGATACAATTCTAAAGCTCATTAGTGAAAAGCAATGGATAATAAACTTAATGGCAAATTGAACTTAAAATTGGTGCATTAATACATCAAGAAACTGATAAATTGGCATAAAGCATGAATTGTTCAAGCCAAAGAAATGCGATTAACTTTGATTTCAGTCAACTTTTTTCAAGTGGAATCGCGTTAGCAAATTGGTCTTTAATAATTGTTTTGATCTAAATCAGTGAAACTGGAGCTTGATATGCAGCAAAGAAATTAAAGATTGAAAAATAAAAACAACAAAAATTAACCAATTCTGCACATTTTGAAAATTATCCTTATAATAACTGTTAATAGTAAGATGCGAATCGTTATTGTTGTATTTTCCTCTCTGCATAACATGGTATTGAACCTTGTGATTGCACCAGTTACATTTACATTTGCATTGTAAAATTGTTAATCAGCTTCATGATAATCTTAATCCATCCTTTATCTTCGGTTATTAACTCGATCAAGTTGATTGAAGTCAAAGTCAATCTTTTGAATCAGTTGTTTGAGCTATAATTGTGTTTGGTTTTTTCACTTTTACCAGAGAAGTTCGGTGCTCGATGAGGATCACAAGTAATTTATGTTGGATTTAAGGAAATGATGTAAATGATTTTGTCACACTTTAGTGAGGTACATTTAACTGATTGATCTGACCTGCAATGAAAATGATAAAGTATTATCTCTATGGTAGTAAAAAGAGGATGTTGATCTTACCGTTTATTTTTAAACTCTTATGTTTTCTCCAGCTTCATCTTCTTGCGAATGATTTAAGGAGGTTTTGATTGTTGGAACAACCTCATCTTCATATTTTTCATCTCCACTTCATCCTCACTCCATCTTGTTCTCTCTCTCTCTTTCAATCCACAAATGAAAGAGAGATAAAGATAAACCAGTGTAAGTGATGAGGAAAGGGAAAAAAAGATAGCGAAGAAAATACGTATTTTTCCTTCTCTCTTTCTCTACCTCTTTCACTATCCCTTCGACATCCTCTCTTCTTTTACACTTTTTCATCCCTTCGCTCCCACTTAATTGTCTACGCTAAACGGATCTTCAATCTGAAGAGTGATAACATCACAAGGAATAGAGATAATCGCTGAAACAACCAGAATCAACACCAGGAAACTTTTCAACAGTAATCAACTGAACATCAACAAGTCCATTTGAAAATTTCCATCACATTTTAACTTTGCCTTGGTGTATATCAACTTGCCATATTACAATAATCACCAGCAACTGCAGATCGACTAATTAGCTTCATTAAACCATCAAGAATCAACATTTCAAGCAGCAAAAGAGTTTGCATAAGTTGCAGAAGATAGAAGCAAACGATTGAGTCAAGAAAAGCCAATTGGAAGTGGTTACCAGGGTTGGTTTTGATGGTCTACCAGAATGAAGACGAGTGTATAAAAAACATTTAAATAAATTAAAGTGATTAACTGGACCAGTTGGGTGCAGATTTTGGTAACCAAACGATTCACAATAAACAAAAGGAAACTGAAGACAACAATAAAACCATGCGACTTCTGTGAGTAAAATATGTAATTTTTTTATCGATTACAAAAACAGATTTGTCTTCCCCTCTTTTTGTACCCTCTTTTCCTCGGTTCCTTTCTCTCTCGTTTGCTTTCTGTGGCTCTTCACCATTTTAACAGTTCCAAGGTCTACTTACCTCTGAATATAAATTGTATCTTTTTATCTGTGTCTCTGGGTCGACCTTTACCCTTGATGCCCTCGAATGTGTTTTAATATGTTCCTATTTAGTTTAACCTCTACACGGTTAGCTAATATTAGTAGTTTCAGTTATCTTCATCTTAACCACCATCTACACCAACAGACATTATCAAAGATTAAATATGCACCATCAGTATTATCCAGTATTATTTTAATATCATTTTATCACCATCATCTTCATAGTATCTAATTGTTAACTAAATATCTGTGTTTATTATTGCTATTTCATTTATGTAAGTGTTTCCCATTTTTCTTTGCTACCTCGTTTACCTATTTCATCCTTTTCTTGGTTGGCTTTTTTTCTCGATGTAAATATTGGTTATGTACTGTTGCTTGATTACAATCACTGTACATGTTTTTGATCAAATAGTAGTGTTTTTTGCTTGGATCCTTGCTTTCGATTGGATGTTTTCTTGTTACGATTCAGTGTATCTTCAACATCTGGAATACTCATTTTCGCCAAATATTATGGTGATGTGTTAGCATGGGAATCGCCCTTTCATTATTGTTAACCTTTAGGCTCAAAAGTATATCGATTAATTCATCATATTGGATCTGAACAATCAAATCATTGGAAATATCACTGTTTTTGTATTCTCATCTCCTTGAATGAGTTTCCATTTTATTCTCTCATTGAAGCTCCATTTACCTTATTCATAACAATCTTTTTTAATATGTGATAAATTATTTCCTTGAAAGATTTATTTATTCAGTTCCATTTGTTCAATTATGTGATTTATTCTGATTACCTAAACAAGTTTTCAATTGTGTTAGCAACATAGATGTTTACGATTTTGTCCAGGCTGCTCATAGATTACTGTTCGTCTTCATCAATGTGAAGCTTCCATTAGGGTGTCAACTACTTTCATTAGCATTTGGACTATCCTTTATTTTGTTTGTCTCTCGAATTATTTCATGTTTTCGTTTATTTTAATTTTGTGTTTTGCAAAATATAGCTAGACATCCAATTCATTTGCTAGCTCAGTAAGAGATATGCTACAACGAATAAGCCATCGAACAGCAATCAAAAATTCCAGGTTCTATCTTATTTACTTGTCAACTTAATTGAATCAACTAAAGACCGTCAATACCTTCAATGCATTTGGTATAATCAAGATAAAGGTTGATCTACGTAAATATTTGCTCCATCAGTTGGTTCCGGTTGTCACAAGTCAATTTGTGATTGTATTAATATCTTGTTTTACAGCCAGTTTAATTGGCTAAGTGACAGAAAGATGTCTCCAAACAAATGGTAAAAATTAATTAGATTGGTGATAAAAAATTCGGGTTAATTTCTGCTTTGTCCCTAACACACCTACACTGTTTACCACCATAATAGAGAGCAATAATCTTGATGTTTCCTTGTTGCAGCTCAAATCACTATGATATGACTATCATGTTCAATTTTGATTCATACAGTTTCAATTGATAATCACATTCATATCAAAAAGTTCCAGTCTATTCTCATGATTGATCAAGATTAATTTGACTGCCTAAGCATACTATTTATGGATGTTATTCAACCGGTTCACTGTGTTAATCGTCTCAATCAAATTAATTTTTCTATTGATTGTTGAATGCATGAATTGAAGTTGAGCTTTTTTTCACAATTTCATAAACTGCGTCTAGATTTGTTTTCCTTATAATTTTAAACACAACATTTTAACGAGCTAATTGTAATGGCTTTATGTTTCAATATTAACCTTTTGTTTTCTTCTTTTTATTCCCATAGAAACAAATATAACTCCACCTCAGATATCCACAGGAAAACATCAAGCGAAAGACAACAGCTGACGCCAAAAGTTGAAATTAGTCCACCAGTAATCAAGCAACATGAGCAACCCCACAAAAAGGCTACTCTGATTGAAGGCAAACCATTGACTAATTTATGTTCCCCTGTTAATCATTCAAATTCAATCAAACCAAATCCAGTATCGGTTATGGCGAGTAACCATAACAATGTTGAAAACCAGCAGAACAATATAAACACCGCTGTTAACGCCACTACCAACAGTAACAATAAAATTGGTACAACCAGTCAACAGCAAGCACCGGTTTTATTAGCACTCAATGGAAACAACAATAACAATAATTCAGCTGCAACTACAACTCAAGAGGATTTATTACAGCCAGGACATGTCGTTAAAGGTATTACCACTGTTAACTGATTTTATCTTCATTTTAACAGTAATTTATCATGTTAATAACAATCTCACATTGATTTTACTTTATATGATTATCTAATTGTTATTACGTGTTTCACTAGTTTACAGTAGTTTCTCAATGTGTTATAAGTGTGGTATGGTTTCCATTATCAATATGCCATTGATTTTTGTGGCATCCGATATTGTTATTCACCAATATCTATCTGTTTCCATATTGATTTCATTTCTAATATTTGATTCTTTTTTATCCTTTTTTCAAACAACAGAGAGATGGAGGGTCGTCAAAAGGATTGGCGGCGGTGGATTCGGGGAAATTTACGAGGCCATAGACTTAGTTACACGGGAACATGTTGCAATGAAATTGGAATCAGCTCAACAACAGAAGCAAGTTTTGAAAATGGAAGTTGCTGTTCTCAAGAAATTACAAGGTAAACATTTGTTTATTTCTTGTTCATCAAACTACGATTTTTTTCCTCTTTCTGTTGCCTCTGTCTTTTCCTCCACCTTCCTCCCTTCCTTCAACAATAATGCAAATCTCGTGGTTTCTTTATTTTTCTCAGTGATTTACTGTATCTGATGTGATGTGAATCATTTTAGCTTTCATTTACTATGAGCAAAGTGCAAAGTAACTAAATTTTTGTTTTGTTTCAATGCAAAACTTCGACTCATTCTTCACCAACAACGTAATCCAACCCATGGCAATCCTTGATTTCAAACATGTTTATATGTTTTATTTTTCATCTCAAGACTTACTTGTTTTTCACACATTTTCATGTTGATTATTATTCAAAATTTTCTGTTTTATTAACATTTCCATCGTAATTTTTCCATGAAAAAAGAAACCTGCCTCTGAAGCAAACCTTGTTTATTAACAGTCTCCTTCACCCGATCAGATGAATCTTTCATTGCCATGGGCATGATGTTGGCTTCAGTAGTAATCGTAAAAAAATGAAATAAAATAAGGGCATCTCAAAGTAGACTATTTCATCTGAGCTGAGAAAATTATCATTTCCAAGATGTTCTTTGGATGAAATCCATCAGTTTAGAGAATCCTTTCCGCTCTTACAAACACTTGTGTATTTTTGCATCTTTATTTGTCAAAGTAAACCCTTTCCTCGAATTTCTTTCATTTCGTTTAATAACAAGTAATTGTTCTAATTCATGAACTAGAGTAAATACGTAGTAACATTATATGTTTATGATTGATTAACTTCAGATATTTTTCTCTTCAATTCATCTTCCCTGTCGACATTGATCATCATGTTATTAACATCTATTGTTTGCTCTCAATGATTCTAGAACCATTCAATTACAGATCTTAATACACCTATTTATTATTAAATTATTATTTCTCAGAATTACTTTAATATTGAGTTTAAATTTTGTATCAAATTCAAATTAGACTCAATGTTATTCCCAACTTACCGGATCGATAATCCAAAGTCTCTTCATTTCTCTTCATGTCCTCCTTTTCATTTCCCTCATTTTATCCCTTTCACCACCAACATTATCATCCCTCTTTCATTCAACTCCCTGTGACTTATTCACTTGAACAGGAACATTCGAAGTCCTGACCTTGAGACATTTTTTCCTTCTTTCCATTCTCTATGAACCAGAAGATGATGAAAAATGAATGTTGAACAATGAAGCTAAAAAACAAGGAAAAATGAGGAACCACCTTGAATAGCTCATACATCAGTATCATGAAATGAACAGTCCTTCAATTACATCAGATCAATATTGTGATGATTAAACCCTTTCATAAACCAAGAAATCATTCATTGATACTTTGATGAAACAAAGATGCCTTTGATTAAATTTCAATTTGCAATTCAGTTAATGTTATTATTCACAATTAGTCTTGATATCTATTTTGTTCACCATAATTTACATAAACAACAAAATAAGCCTCTTAATTGTCTGCCTTGTTTTCAAGCAACTATGAAATCTTTTCAAATTATAATGATATTGTCAGCGATTCCATGTTTTTTCACATGTTTTTCCTTCTTCCCATTTCACTCATTTTTACTTCCTTATGAAGTTTTTTTCTGCCTTTCTGAGTTCACCAACATTTCTGGCAATGGATCAAGAAAAACACTTGGAAAAAGTCTCAGAATCGGACAAATGATCATTTTTCTTCTCCTTCAGTTGAGCATCATCGTGATGAGGAAGATGATGATTTGAAATTGAAGAGGTTGTCTAGCAGATAAATGTCTGTTTTCATCTCTACTAAACATGTGATTCAGTTAATCCTTTCAAAGTTAATCCATTGAAATATGCTTTGATTTATTCATTCAAATCAATAGCTATATCTAAATACATTATATAATCATTAGTTGGTTCATTTGATTCAGCAAAAGTATCACTTTTTTCAATATATTACTCTAAATTTATTGCTTTATTTTTCTTAATGTCAAGGATAATTTTCAATGTTGCTATCATTTACTCATTTTGTACTCGTCTTAATCATATTAGTAACTAAACATTATTTGATTCATGGTTATCTTAGTGCCAAAGTTTCAATTCTTGAGCTTTACTTTCATCTATTTACGATGTTATAAATGTATTGCATGATTTTCATGTCAATCCATTTGATTTATTTGATTTGCTTCAGATTATTTAAAAGCTTTTTATAAATTAAACAAGCAGTTCAATTTACATTCATTACTATTGATGATTTCATGAAAATTGTCACTATTTAAGTAAATCTTATTTAGTATGATCAACCTTAATCAAACATGTATTCTGCAACCAAGTTTATTGTTTAATTTGATATTTGACATTCTATTATGATTAATTACTTTGTATTTTTGATCGACAAAACAATCATGCGATTAAAACATCAAAAGACATTCAGTTATTGATGGTTGATTTTAGTTGAGATGCAAGCTTTTAATGTTTCACTTTTATTTCTGGTTTATATTTATGATCAATTGATTGTTTACAATAATCCACTATTATGGTAAACTTGCAATGATAATTATCATCATTAATATTATTCATACTTTGTCGTTCACAAGCTATTGACTCATTCTCAAGAGTACTTTAGGGCTGTTCATGAGTTTGATGTTGATTATGTTTTCAATGAGTTTCAGATCAATCAAACCAATCTAGAACAAACTTAATCAAAAAATGAGCGTAAATTGGGCGGATATCTTATTTTCATAATATATTAGATTAAATTAAATTGCAATATGTTGACCAAATTTCTAGTTTGTCTTTGTTATTGATCTCTTGACCCTTTTTCATTGAAATATGTCTTTTTGACACTTTTTTATAAAGCTAAAGCCTTGCTTATTTAAATAGCTTATTTTTCTGTGAAGCTAAAAATTTACTTATATGTTATTTCAGCACAAATTCAGCTTCATACATTCTTTATATTTCCATAAATTAAATTCTCTATTTTTTCTTTCAGGCAAAGAACATGTTTGTCGTTTCATTGGATGTGGCAGAAATGATCGTTTCAATTATGTTGTTATGCAGTTGCAAGGTAAAAATTTAGCTGAGCTAAGACGTAGCTGTTGTTCATCTCGAAGTGGATCATCATCAGCAGCTTTCAGCTTATCAACAACCTTACGCCTTGGTTTACAAATATTGAGATCTATTGAGGCAATCCATAAAGTTGGCTTTTTACATCGAGACATAAAACCATCAAATTTCGCCATTGGTCGACATAATCATAATAATCGAATTGTTTATATGCTTGACTTTGGTTTAGCTCGTCAATACATAGTTGCCTCTTCATCATCAACTACAACAGCCAATAGCACTGCAAATAACAACAATAATACAAGTACTAACACTAATAATAACAATGCCAACAATGCTAGTAATAACGGTAGCATTACTAGTAGCAGTTCAAAATCAATTGAACCGGCTAAATTTGAAGTTCGTCCGCCGCGAGCTGCAGCTGGATTCAGAGGAACAGTCCGATATGCTTCATTGAATGCCCATAAAAACAAGGAAATGGGTAGACATGATGATCTCTGGTCATTATTATACATGATAGTGGAATTTGTCAACGGATTTCTTCCCTGGAGAAAAATAAAGGATAAAGAGCAAGTTGGCCAAATGAAGGAACGTTATGATCATAGACTACTTTTGAAGCATCTTCCGCCTGATTTTAAACAATTCCTAGAACATATTCAAGGTTTATCTTATTATGATGCTCCCGATTATGATTTTTTGGCTGCTATATTCGAGAAATGCATGAAACGCCGAGGTATCAAAGAATCTGATCCTTATGATTGGGAGATTCAGGCCCAAGAAAAGGAGCTGAAAGCAGCTCAAGCTTTACTTGCAACTCCGATTACTGGTACTTCTGTACCAGCAGTGACTTCAACTCAACAACAACAAGCCCAATCTGTAAATCCACTTCAGCAAGCAGCCACATCAACTGGCCCTGGTAAAGTTTACCAAGCAATTGCTACCAATTCAGTTACTGGCTATTTCAGTGAAAATACTCAAAACAAAGATACCAACAATCAAATTGGTAACTTGACGCAAACCAATGCCAACAATAATAATATTAATTCCAATGCGGCTGTTAATAATAATAGTAATAGTAATAATGTTAATTTCAATACTAACAATGTCAATAATGCTGACAGAAGTGGTGCTCCTTCTCCCGTGCTTTACCAGGACGGAAAACCTGAAAATACAAATATTCACGATTCTGGCCAAGTAACCGGCTCTGGACAGCAAGCATCAGTTCCTTCAAATTTTCCATTGGCTAATAAACCATCTACTTGTAGTGCTACTAATGTTAATTCAGGAGAAACACACGATAATGTCCACTCTAAAGTACTTAAATCTAAGTCAACCACTGCTGTTACCAATACCTCTTCTGGTGGTATCGCTGGTAACAACAATGGGTCTAACCAAGGAGTGACAGGTAAACCACAGGCTGTTGTAAGACGTAGTAATTCAAACAGAGTCCAGTCAACCAAATGTACTCAACCGCAGCCAGCTACAATCAATCAACAATCAAATTCATCAGTTGTATCAGCTGCTGCCGCAGCAGCCGCCGCCGCCGCCGCTGCTGCTGCTGCTGCAGACAACAGTCGTCGACAAACAATGTTTGATATAAGTGTTACTCAATTTGCGGTCGCAGATGATATTAGTGCGCTTGGCTTAACTGGACAAACTGGAGCTACTCAAGGAAATGCTAATGGTGCTAATTACAAGCAACTTGGTGGTGTTACTTTAATGTCACGTTGGGGAATGTCATTCGATGAAGAAAGTGAAGGTGGTGATGGTGGAGTTGATGATGAGGAAGCTAATGTTCAACTCATGAGAAGTTCTTTCAATGATAGATCGCTCAATCATCCTGAATCTTATTCTGGCAAAATCATCGGAAATTCGTCTTCTCAGGTAATACTCTAACGAAATTTGTTGCTCATTTCAATGAGAAACTCAATCTTGCAAAAAACTTTCATTCTCAAAAAGAGTGTGAGGTTTTACCGTAATAATAAACACCTCGACAAAACACTGAATTTGAAATGGGATACACTGGATAACATTGATTCAGATGATGGCTTTAATCAATGAGTTACCACAAAGCTTGTCAATCATGTGTCAATTTTTGTTTTATTTCATGCATGTTTAAAACAAACACAAGCTTTTCACCCAAAAAAGACTCAACTTTCATTACTTTTCTTCCTTATTTTTTCCCCAATAACCAGGGTAATAGGAAATTGGCAAGCTTCAGTTATGAATTATCATGCAAATTCCTTTAATCAAACATCATTTATCATCTGATGTAATACTAATTGTATTTGTACATCAAAATGGGTCAAAAGAGCTACTCAAATTTTTGAGTCAAGTAGATTCAAGTATGCTATAATTGTATTTAAATACAAAAGTAATTGAGGATTCAAATGACTATCAATTCACAGATTAAAGTTAATCTTGTTTCACTTCAACTAAACTCATTATTGTAATAATTGTCAAATTTTTATTTATTTTTTTCTCTCTTTTCTCCAGAATGTCGCTGCTTCATCGCCAATTATTCCTCCTTCACCTTCGCCTCCAATCATGGTTACCTTCCAAGGGCGATATCAACATCCATACTCGTCTCCACCTCCACCACCCCTTACAACCTCCTCATCCCTTCAACCAATCTCAGCAATTCCTGTAAATACCATGTCACCCTCATTATCCACCCAATTGTTGCCTAATATCACAAACAAAGAGACTAGTCAACAACCATTGGAACCAATTGCTCCAAATGATCAGGTGAAAGATGGAGGCAAAAATCTGGTTAACCAAAATCTAAAATCTAGTCAATCTACTAATCAAAAGGATCCCTTGATTTTTGATAAACACAATTCAGACTCACCTAAATCACAAGGTATGAAAATTCAAACTCACTCTATTTTTATTAACTCAGTTAATGATTTACTGTAAATGGATTTACCTGATTACACTCAATGAATTTCATGTATTTTTGTTGCTCATCTAAAGTTCAAGGTTAACCCATTATTTTCTTAGATTTCTCTTAAATCTGTCTCATCTTTTCAGCAATTTATAGCTGAAAATAAACTTGTCACCCTTTTTTGCATTCTTAGCCTTGTCAGTAAATTACTTAAACAACTTTTGATTAGTTTATGACAATTCACTTGGTTACAATTCATTTGACTCAGACTCATCCATATGTTTCTTCATTGAACTTGAACCTTGGTAAAAAGTAATACAAAATACAGTTTTATTGGCGCAAATATAACTTGGCGCTCCAAAATTGTCTTGATCTTTAAAGAAGTTTTATAGCACGCGTTGTTTTTTCAATAATCAATTATAGTTATCATGAAAGGTGATCTTTATTGATAGTTTTCAGTCATTAATGGATTTAACCAAAACAAATAACAGATAACCTTGAAAAAGTCTAGTTTTTTGGAAGCTAAACCATGAAAAGTGATAAAATCAATCAACGTCTTTCAATGAATGAGCAAAAATTGACTGTTATACATTGAGTGATCAATTAACAACCCTTTTCGTTTAAATATTGATGATTCCAAAAATATTGCAAGTAAAGTTATTATCAATAACTAATTAACTCTTTGTTTCTTCAATCGATCAGCAGAATCTCCTGAAGGTGAAACATCAATAGATACTCAACCACCGCCACCGCCATCACCACCTCATCAACAAGTATCACTCAATTTAGCTCCATCTCCACCAAATATATCGCCACCTCCAGCTATGAAGCAACTCAAAAGTCCATTTTCACCTACCAAAGAAACTCATGATTCTCATCATCATCATCCTCATTTTTATCACCATTCATCTCATCATTCAACTAGTCCACAAGGATCGCCTCGCTCAACATATCCAGAAAGCAAGGAAATCATTGGTCATGATAATGGCCAAACCTCAAATGATGCAGTTAAAATAAATAAACGGGATAAACGAGAGAGTATAAGACGACGCCGAGAATCTCGTTTAAAACCGATCTCTAGACGATCTTATTCCGATCCAGAGCATTTCATTGGAATGAATAAAGGTTCTTCAGGTCGAGTTTCTTCAGGTCATAGTTTAATGGCTGCATCATGTTCAAATGAAAACATTGAAGGTTTTAGTTTCCTAACTCGAACCTGGTCATGTCCCATTATCGGATGTACCATTAGATCAAGCATTAGTCCACCAATTAAGCAACAATTAAGTTGCAATAGTTTTAATCAAGAAGAGATAATCTACAATGTAGACATTACTCGAAACATTGCCATTGTTTGTGGTGGTAAAAGTGATACACAGTTAAACAAATCATCTCAAATTTTATCTTCTTTCATTTCAACCTCACTTCCAAACATTCACCTTTCCTTGGACGAAGATAAAATACCATTGACTCCACCACCTCATTTATCATCATTTCAACCAACACAACTTTCAGAATCATCTCAACCCAATGGGACAACATTAAAACCAATTACAGCATGTTCCTCATCATCTATTTCATCAGTCTCAAATAAACCTCCTCTGGCCATGTCTACCTTTCTCGATGAACGTATCAAGGAGTCATCCATACATCCCTCAATATTGTCATCACCTTCAGAATTATCCTCATCAGTGCTTCCCAAAATGATTTCTATCAATAACCTGGCCTTTGCTTTAGGCTTAGAGTCAGGTGATTGTGCTCAAGTAAAGGATTCCAGAAAGATTATTACCAAAACTGAAGGCAATAAAAGTGATGAAATTGAATTGATCATTGAACAAGTTGAGGAGATTGAAATTGTTGAAGAGGAAGAGGAAGCCGAGGCAGAAGACGAAGAAGAGGATGAAGAAGACAAAAACTCAAAAGGTGCTAAGGAACCAAGTGGAGTGGGAAAAGAGGAAATTGTACTAGAAGGGCTTGAAGAAGTCGATGAAGATGATGACGAGGATGACGAGGAAGAGGAAGAAGTTGAAATTGTTGAATTGGTTGAATATACGGAGAAGAGATTTTCGGTTGATTGTCCCAATCAAGAAGATGATAAAACAAAAGAGAAAGGAGCTTCCTCAATTCATCCCAATGAAGATTTTGTTTCTAAAGACTGTACCTCCAATGCTGTTGGTGTCGCTGTTGAAACTGTTGATGTTATTGATAACGGTGATGATTATGGACAAAACAAATCTAGTCTAAATGTGATTAAAACCCCTTGCTCCTCATCTCTTGTTACTGGTGAGGATAATGGGAATAGTTGTGATCCTAATGATATAAATGATGAAGTCTGTGGTAATCATAAGCGTAACACATTACATGAAGTGCCCTCATTTCCATATAGACGTCGACGAAGAAGACCCGAAGTGGTTAACGGTGATGATAGTAATAATAATAATAGTAATAGTAATAATGATAATAATTTTACTAATAATACAGTCAATACTCTTCCATCGGTTGTTGCATCTTCTCACGATTATATTGTTCCAACAACCAGGTAAACAACTTACCATGAAAAAAAAACAAAATTGGTTCAAGGGTTACGATCAAGTGAAATGAGTATCAATTTACTTGATTATATTTTAACAATACTTACTTCGGTCTTGGTTGGTAGCTTTGGTTGCCTCAAATGTTCACTATCTTAACCCTTCTATCGATTTCCTTTTCCCATTTTTCGTACCAAATTTTACTAATTTTGTTTCTCTTTTTGGTTATTTCTCTTTTTTGTCAACTCTTCTCTTCCCTTTTCCTCCTTTTTTCTTCACAGGCGAAGAAGATATCGACCTTTGTCTGCACAAGACTTTCAAGACGATGATAATTGAGATTATTATATAGTCTCAATGTATTATTTTTTGCTTCTCTCATTTTAATTGAGAACGAGAAAAAAAAGAGAAATCATCAAATTTAAAAGAATCAAGAATATTAAGTTTTCTCTCATCATCAAATCTCATTCTCTTCCTTTATCTCTTTCTTTCTCTTTCTCTTTTTTGAATCCTCAAGAAAAAGAAGTCAAAGGCTTGATTGTGTCAACTTCTGATTGACATAAACATGGATCACCTTGTAATTAATCGGGAATAATCAGCGACTGAACATCATTTGAAGACTCATCAACATACAAATCAACCTTAAATCTCTCAACTTACTTACCAAAGAAATTTATCGATATGGAGTTCACGAATCCATTTAGAAGACGATGGCCTTTATTTTAACAATTTCAATAATTCAAGCCAAATGGCTTTTAATTTTATTCATTGAGCTGAAAATATTGATCTGCAATTACAATGGACATTGTTCATCTTTACTAATTTCTGGTCTCAGGATTTGTGTTTCTTTCCTGTTTATCGTTTCTTTTTCCTGCCTAAACTTTTGTTGAACTTTTTATTTTCAAGAATCACGAATTACAAAATTTTAGTTAATTTCTGGTCAATGGTTATTTTCAATTAAACAACAATGTTGAATTAAAAATTGTTTGAAAGGCAACGTTTGATTGAATAAAGTTATCATTGCTATTTACATCATTTGATCTGTACTTCGATGAAACGGTAAATCAACTCATCCAGACTCGATGAGAATGGTAAATGAAACAAAAAATCAATTTTTTTAATCAATTTATTTATTGTATATTTAGGTTGTAGTAATATAATGAATGAAAAGGTATCTATTATTATAATTATTGTAGCTGTTTAGTTAATGGCAGTTTAGCTTGCAACAAGTACAATTATTGATTGTGAAAACATTTTTACAAGGAATTATAACAAATCAATCAAGAATCAAGGGACTATTTTATTAGGGTTAACTTGATCATCTCATCATTGTCATCTTGGTTTCAAACGTTTCAGTATTTTTGATTTTAGAGCTCAGAAGTTTACATTCTGACGATTATTTCAATCTTATGTATTGATAACCAGAAAAGGGGAATTAATTTGGCAATATTGTAAATGTACTCATTCATCTTACCTCAAAATTAAACTGAAAAACATCAATACTAAAATTGACTCATGATTTAGATATTTAAATATTGATTATTTATCAATTGAATGGAAAAAAATAATTACAATTTATTGGTACAAAAAAACCTTTCTGATCGGTTACTCTTGATTCGAGGTAAGATTAATTTTTGCTTCACTTCGCTATTAATTTCCCCTTTTCAATGTTAATAACTAAATCTAATTGTCGACTAATAATTTTTAGATGCTAACTAATTGATTGATACTTAAAATGATACTAACATTCAAGTTACATGTGTATTGTGTATGTTTGATTGCACTACTAATATTGCTGGGTATTTATGCTGAATTTTTACCTGTTGAGGATTGAAACATTTAAATTGGTTACATTGATTTTTCATGCTAGTAGCTGAATAAGGTTAGGTAATTGACAATCATTAGATGAAAAAGGTTTGGAGGATTCACTGATTGTGTAAGAAATTGAGATTGAAGGTGATCTTCATAAGTATACATTGTTGTGTGTAAACATTAAGGATAAAAGGGTTTTTAACCAACCTGGCATTAGGTAAAAATGGATGACAATGAATATGAAAGAGGAGCAAGAATGGATGTGAATGTACTTTAACATAAACCATGAATATCATGAATAAATATGGATGAAAAGAAAAGAGATAATCTCGATTATTTTGACACATTTGACAGTTTGTTTGACTTGAGATTGGGAAAGGCTCATTTAAGGTGTGAAAGCTTTTGTTGGTAATAAATTTATTATTATAATGTTACCTAAACGATGATGGCGATACACAGATGATGTTGATGGTTATGGCCGATGTTGAAAGAGGTAAGTTGAAGGAAATGACTTGAGGGTTTTATATTGCACATAGAGATAAGTCATGGGCAAATGAATAATCTTGAAAGTCACCGGCAACATCTAATTGAGTATCATAAGTATCACAAGTCATTGTGTTCCAGTAAGCAGCTCCAGCCATCATTAAACCCACAGCTAAATCGGAATCTTCTTGTTCTTGGTTATTGTCCTGATCAGCTGAATCAATTGGATCACGAAGAAGTGAGTTATGAAAAGCCAGAATCCATTCACTCAAATCATCCAGGGTTGGTGTTAAAAACCAGTAAAATATTATTGTGGTTGTTCCTGTTGTATAATTTTCCTCAATTAAACCAATGGCCAATAGCTGTTCTAATTGATAACCCGAAGGTAAGACCGGTATTTTAGGTACAGATTTAATTTGTTGTCCAAAAATGATTAGAGTTGACTCTTTTTCGCATCGAATCATGGTTTGACTGGAAGAGGAAGGTGATTGTATAACAAAGGTACCATGTTTATAAAGGGTTATCTTGGTTTGTTTCCAATTGGAACGAAAAATCCTTTCTGTTGATTGAATAAGAGACGAAAATCAATTAAATAAATGAGTAATCCAGATAAACAAGTAAACATTACATTAGAGTAAACATTTTGAAGTAAATTGAATCAGAAGATTCAAGAATAAAGATGGATAAAGACAAAGATTAGGATAGGGAATGTGCATTAACATTAATGACCAAGAAGGGAATCGTAGTTTATAAAAGGTTTACCAGGTAAAAGGAGATAGGATGAGAAAGAGGTAAATGTTGTTCACTTACTTTTATAGCGAAGTAAATTGCCTACTTTAATTTTGGTCATTCCTTTGATTGAATTATTTCACTTTTGGTGTTGCACAAATAAAATTTGATTTGGGTTTGGTGATGAATGTAATAAGTTAAAAAATAAAATGGTTAAGAAAGGGAATGAAAATCTTTGTCGAAGGTGGATTCTTGGTGGGAGAATAGCATGAAAAATGAATATCAGGATGAGAGTGATGTTGAAAGGATGATGTGGTGCCTATTGCTGACTGAATTATACAAGTATTCTGTTGATTGCTCAGGATAAAATATCATTGGCGAAATGTAACCAGAGAGAGTGAGTGAGAGCAAGTGTCTGAAGTGAGAAAAGGATAAATGGTGGATGTCAATCGATAAAAAGGATTTGCTTTACTCTACCATTTTCATTGAAAGATGATGAGAAGATGAAAATGATGAAGAGAAAGAGTAGAGAAAGGAACAAACAGATTCATCCTCTTTTCCAATCTTTTTACGAGCTTCCTATTGTCTATCTGTGTACATAAGGCTAAATTTGCTAGGACAAAAAAACCAACACCATTCAAAGGTAATAATGAAAGAACTGATATTCTGTTTTTCTCATGAATAACTTGTACATCTTCCATTTTCTTCTTCTCGTTTTTTTTCTCTTCTCTCATTATATCAACTATAATGGTGATAATCAAATGAAGAAATGAAATGAAATGTGAAATGAAGAAGAAGGAGAAGACAAATGAAATGAAAAGTTTGCTTAAGACTGACAATTTAACCCCATCTGAAATATGTATGCATGATAGGCATGGGAAAAAAGATGATTATCCACCATTATCATCAACTTTTATAATCAATCAAAATGAATGTGCATACAAAATAACATGGAACCAAATGAAATGAACAGTTGACTGGATGAGTTAAATGTACTTATCAGCGTCAGTTTTTTTCTTGTCATCTTTCAGTTTCAGTAATAAACAGTCTTTGAAGTTGTCACATCAGGCAAAAGTGTAACTTTTCAAATAGATAACAATTTTGTGTCTCTTGTTGTATTTTGTTTTCTTGATAACACTTGAATGTCACACCAAAATTTATTGATAAATGGTGAAATTAGGAGAGAAGCAAGCAATCCAAATAACCCGATATTGTGACAATGGTTTCGCTAGAAAGAGATGAAATCTGATTAAGTGAATCAAGGTGATTATATTTCCTTTGACTATTTGTAATTTTGACTTTTCCTTCCTTTTGCTTTCTTTCCTCAGGCTTTGTAACAGCAAATATAACATATTCAGTAGTGAAAATGTCTCAATGAATGGAATCACTAATCCCTTGAATAGGAATGATAAACATTGACTGAGAAGTATTCATGTCAACCATTGCCACTTCATCTTTTTTCCTCCCACACGTAAATAAATCCAGTATCTTTAAGCAATATAACCAAATAATGGGGATAAATAATGATAGTAATGCGACAAGACTGACTCCTGAAAAGGTAGAGTCTAACATGTTTGTACCAACATCACCATCGTTATCTCAATTTGAAGTGACAATTTGAGATTCAATTGTCTTTCAACAGTTTATTTCTTGAAAAACTCGATATTTTATCAAATTCCCTTCTTTCAATGATTATGGTTCCTTTGAATAGTCTTTTCCTCTCCAATCTCCATCCTTCATTTGATGTCGAATTTTCCTTTATTCTCGCGATGCTCTTCCTTTCAATTCTTTTCTCGTCTTCAGTTAAATTCTTGTGCCTTTCAACTTTTATTCCTTCACTTTTTTCCATTTTTTACATTGATTTCAACTTGATTTGAAGCTTCTTTTATCCTTTAACTCATTTCGATGAATACTTGTAATTTCTTTTGAGAATCTTCATCTTCCATATTTTCCTTCTTTTCATCAAGTTGCTACTTCTATCGGAATTTATTGACTTCCGAGGTGTATGATGTAGACAGCAGGAAATTGGCTCAAAATTAATGGATCTAAATTCGTGTAAAGAAAAAAATCAAATTATTAGAACTTGGAACAGAATTGAACTCTGATAGTTATTAAAACATTTGGGAAAATAATATTCACTTGTTCATTCAAAGTTATTATATTGACCTTTAAAATTTTGAGTCTTTCAAAAAATCAAGACTATTTTAATTGGAAATATCGTTTCAAAATTAATTTGCTTGACATAAGTTAACAAATAACAGATAGAACTTTGAACACACAGGTGTGATATTATTTTAATAAAGAAAACTTTGACAGTTTGAATAAAACTTTATACCGACTTACTTTCTAGATCCTGAGAGTTACACATTTTATCCGGTTATTTAGGTAACTTTGACCTTTTTCAAAACTGTACCAATTGTACAATTCAGCATTAAGATGACGTTTAGTTGACTTAAGTATCAAACGATAAGATTTTGCAATGATAACATCCAAAGATAACATCCAAAGCGATTCTACGAATTTACAATTGGAAGTCTTGAAGATTATTGAAATCGTTATTGAAATTATTTCGTAATAATAATTTTCAGTAAGTTTTAAAAACTAAACAATAAGCTCTTCAGTCATTCAAACTGATTGGTTAAATCGCTGAAGTCATCAGCTGACAGAATTTAAACTCCTCCTAGAGACAGGTAAATTTAAGGTACCCTAAAAAGGTAATTGTTTGTTTTTCAAGACTGATACTGTTGTATCTAGCGTGAGTTGCCGATACTCATGAATCCCGGTAGAATGATTTTCAGGTATCTTTCGAGGCGCCACCTTAGGGATTCAAGATTCATTTACTTCACTTTAATAGGCGCCATCTATCTATGATTAAGATAAACCCCACCCTATCTTCTCATAGTGAGGAGATAGGGAGAGATGTTGTTTTTAGTAAATTTGATGCCACAAATTCCTCTCCAATTTATCAGATTTTTTATATAATTAACAGTGATTTACTTTATTTATTAGTCTTTTAATTAATTATTTATCATTTCAGCTTACCCTGGATTAATAAGTTACATCAAAAGCGAAGGAAAAACAGTGACTTCTTCATTTGGGTTGGTTAACCCAAAAAATGGGCAATTGCCTCTCGACTGATAACTCAGAGAAAAGAACTGGTAATATGGGTAATACATGCAAAAGAGATGCAATTCATACCATGGATCCTCATCGTATGGGAAATCCTGGTTTCAGTGTTAATTTGGACGGATTTGCTGACTCAATGAATCCAATGCCCAATAATAGATCTCCTTTCACCGGAGTTGGTGGTAACTGTAAAGGTATAACTAACTCTAATTCAACGAGTAGTGCTCAGAGTGGGGCTGGAGGTGGTGTTACATGTATGAAAGGTGCCAATTCAAATGATTCTGGAATCGTTAGAACTCCATCCCATCATTTGGCCTCTCACAGTGGCTCTCATGGATCCCACGGGTCAAATAACCAACAGATAGTCATTGCATTGTACAATTACAACGCCAAAGATGAAGGAGATCTGAGCTTTCGTAAAGGTGATCGTTTAATTATTTTAGACGATGGTGATCCAGATTGGTGGTTAGCCAAGCATAAAGTGTCCAGCCAGAAAGGTTATATACCCAGAAATTATGTTGTAACGGAGGCCATTGAAACTGAAGAGTAAGGCTTTATCTTTATTGATATATTTGTTTTTTTCAATACATTCAATTTTATAGCAAAAAATGATTGCCTATTTTGGCTTTGCTTTTCATTATTTTTCCATTTTATGCCAGCAAAACTGATAGCAATTCTTTATCTATTGCAGTTAATATATAGTAAAAATTAATCAAATATGATTAATAATTATCCGGAACTTACTTTGAAGATCAATTGATAACTTATAGTTCTGTGTTTGTCTAACTTTCCTCCATTATTATTGTCTCAGTTGAATTCTATACTTTATAAAGTTATATCTTATTGTATTTGATATGAATTTTGGGTTATTTTCTGATGAAAGATTTGTAAGCATTATTTCTTTGAATGATTTAGTTGTTTAATTTGCTTTGATTGTTTACTCTTCCACCCATAAGAAAATATCGTTCTAATTAATTGTTTTGTTTTCTTTTTTTAAGATGGTTCTTCGGTAAAATATCACGTCGTGAAGCAGAGAAGCTTATGTTAGCTGGTGACTTACCTCGTGGTACATTTTTGATAAGAAACAGTGAACAAACAGCTGGTGCTTACTCACTATCCATCAGAGATTGGGAGGCATCAAAGGGTGACCATGTAAAACATTATAAGATCAAGACTCTTGATAACGGTGGTTATTTTGTAACGACACGTAAAACCTTTCCTACTCTACAAGATTTGGTTGATTATTACTCAGAAGGAGCCAATGGATTATGTCATGCTTTAACTAAACCTTGTCCCAAAACAAAACCTAGCTATTGGCCGAACAAAAAGGATGAAATCGAGCGTAAAGATCTAGAATTTTTGCGAGAGCTTGGAGGTGGTAACTTTGGTAAAGTGTATTATGGTCTTTACAAGGGTCACACCGAAGTCGCCATCAAAACTCTTAAATCTGGGACGATGTCTCCTCAAGCTTTTCTCGAAGAAGCTGCCATCATGAGAAAGTGTAGGCATGAAAAATTAGTCCCACTTTATGGTGTCTGTTCTCAAGAAGAACCTCTGCTCATTGTAACTGAATTTATGTGCAACGGGAGTTTATTAGATTATCTTAGGAACAATAGGGAAGGCAAGAATCTTAAATTACCTGATCTCTTGGACATGGGAGCTCAAATCGCAAGTGGCATGGCCTACTTAGAAAATCAAAAGCTTATCCATCGTGATCTTGCTGCTCGCAATATCCTTGTTGGAAAAAATAAACTTGTTAAAGTAGCTGATTTCGGATTAGCAAGGGTAATAGAAGATTCAGAATATACTGCGCGACAAGGAGCCAAGTTTCCAATTAAATGGACGGCTCCCGAAGCTGCACTGTACGGTAAATTTTCGATTAAATCAGATGTTTGGTCTTACGGTATACTTCTGTACGAACTTATAACTCACGGACAAGTACCATATCCTGGTAAGTATTGTATACAATTTAATTACTTGCTTCTGTTAATTCTTTTATTATTTTATTGCGTTAGCTATTGATTGCATTGTGATAATTGAAATCTGTCTGAAAGTGATTTATAAGATTTGTTAACGCTGACAGGAAGAAAAACATTCTTTATCTTCATCTAATTGCAAGAGTCATGGTTATGATTCGCCTTACTCATCACCTCGCTGAACTTAATTCTCTTCTTGTTTTTCTATCATTTCCTTTTGCTCATCAAGCTCGAATTTTTGTGGTTCATTGAGCTCATTGAGTTCATTTAATCTTAACCAATCACTTTTCTTCTTTTTATTGAATTTTTAATTTATTATTTTCTTTTGTCTTTTCTCTTTCACAACAGGTATGCATAACAGAGAAGTCATCGAGCAAGTTGAAAGGGGCTATCGAATGCCAAGGCCAACCAACTGCGAGTGTCCAGAATCTGTTTACAGTATTATGCTGCAGTGTTGGGATCCTGAGCCTGAAAAACGACCAACTTTTGAATTCCTTTATGGCTTCTTCGATGACTTTTTTGTATCAACTGAGCCCAGTTACAGGGATGCTGAAGAATTTTAGTTAATAGAAATTATATCTTATAATAATTTGGCACAAAGATAACTAACCTAGACATGGGATTATTCCTTATAACCATAGCCGCATCATCATGATTTAAAAAGCATGGAATAATGTACTTTACATTACTCTATCATCATCACATTCCCCTCTCATTTTGTCTATTTTATTGTAAATATTTCTTTTCTTCTACACTTGTCTTTTACCTTTGAAACAAGAATTATGTCAACAGCTACTCACAAACACCTAGCAAAGGGTCTGTGTGTTGGTAAAAGATCCTGGATTTTTTTAAATCTATCATTATTCGACTCGTCCATATTTCACCACGACCATCAGAGCAAGACTCAAGAAAGTACCAACTGCCGTTTGAACAACTTTTTTTGCTCGCTGTTTCATGCTTAAGATTATCTTATACCATCCAATTCGACTTAACAAAGACTCATCAAACAAAACAATTTATTTCATCGCAAATTTTTTACCTTCCACATCAAGATCAACGCTTAAATGAAAGAACAAAAAGTAACTTTAAAAAGTCTTCCTTTTTACTTTACACCTCCATATTTTCTCATGTGCGAAAGTAAATCCGCTTTTTGTACAACTTTGTATTATTCATCGTCCTCCTCTCTCTTTACCTCTCTCGTCAAATTTTCATCTGATTTCTTTAAATTTAATAGATAATTGAAATTATCCAACGACTTTTAATGATTTCCTATTTTTATGTGTCAATACCTTTGTGAATCTCTTTTTTGTAACTTTTGGTATGTTATACTTTACACGAAACCTTTTTAATGTTGAATGAAAGCGAGAACAATCATTGAAATCAATTCAGAATCTAAATTGAAATAAGATCAAACAGGTTGCTAAATTAAATGAATTTCACACAAGTGCGTAATAAGATTATTATTCATCCATCTTACGTCTATCTTCACTTTACAACATATCATAAACATGATGTAGTAAGTTGAAAGGATTTTTTTACAACTTCTGGCTTTTTTTAACAGAATAAATAAATTTTTTCGCCTCCTTATGCCAATCTTCGTGGGTCAATTTTCTCCAGATTTACAAGTGGTTTTAGTTGATCTGCAAATTGTTTAATCTCATCAGCTAGTGGATCAGATCCAGACGGAGCAACAATGCTAACCTCAACCAAGTAAGATTGAGTGACTGTTTGAACATTACTATCAGCAAAAACTGGCTGTTGCTGACCTACCTCTGAAGTTGGAACATGGAATATTTTTGCCACAATTACCTTGAGTCTACCTTTCTTGAACATATAACCCTTACTGTAAAATTCGTAATCTTTTTTAAAACCCATCTCGGTTAGAAATTTACAGACATTATTAGAACAGGCTACATCAATACAGGATCGTACCAATGTTGCTCTAGTCTTATCACCAATTTCAGGTTGACCCAAGTATCTCAGATGCCATGGATAATCTTTACGTTCAAGGTCCTGACGTACTCGCAACATTACCGCCTGACCGGAGGGATTTTCTGTAAAAAAGAGGAAAAAAGATAATTAGATAAAGTGGTTCAAAATTAGTTAAACCCTTAATAATGAACAAAACTCACTTATAGAGTAGATATATTCACGATCGAGAAAAGTCTCTGTAGGATCATCGGCATTATCACATAAACCTTGAAGTCGATGAAGAAGCATTTCAACAGCAGAGTCATTAATGCTTCCCTGTAAAATATATTCCTGTTGAGGAATTAACTTAGGATTGGATGTCATTTTTATTCCATAAAAAATTGGTTTGACTGGAGAAATGAAAACAAAGGAGGTAAAAGGTAAAGAAAGAAGAATCAGCTGGGTGAAAACCAACTGCGCGAAAATTTAAAATTCCAGTTGCAATAATCACAATAAATTATTAAATGCACTTAACCATGAGGGTAAAATTTGAATTATGTTCAGAAACACGTATAGCTTCAATTTAATTTATTTTTAAGGCAAAATCTAGGATTTCATTATTACTTAAATCATTATTTGCAAGCTACATTATTATAAGTTTAGTTTGTTAAAATGCTCATTACAGAGGATTTCATTGGTAATTTACCTCTGTAAGGCCATCAGGCTATCTTAAGATTGTATTGGAGTGCGGTAAAGAGGTGAATTAAGTTAATTATTTAAGATTGATTGGTTAGAATTATGAGCTTTGTTTTGATTATCAGGAGAACAAGTTTTAACATGAAAGATGGCGCCAGATACATTAAAACATGAAACAAGTTTCAATCTAATTGGGCTCTATGAATTCAGCTAACAAGTGCTTAAGTGTTACCTTTAATACTCGGTGTATCTAGTAATTTAATTGAATCTTACAGTTCTCTATTTTTTGTATTTTAAAATTACAATCACCAAACATTCATTTTCCCTGTAGAAATAGGTAGTAACTTGTCTCAGGAAGTAGCATCTCTATTTCGTAGATTATTAGTTTAATTCAATTTACTTCCATATGAAAGCAATTAGAAAACTCATGAAATCCGCTAAAAATTATCTAACAGCTGATATATTTTCGGCAAACCAATAAAGTCTACCAAAAGATTAACCTAAACTAATTTAACTGAGTTTAGCTTTCTGTTTGGATATCAAATCCTGAGTATTGTAATCTTGCTAAACGAAAATATTCGTAAACTTTGCAAGATTTTTATCACATTAACTCACAATTAATTCACAATTGTCTGTGATATTAATGATGCTAAAAATTGACTGTGAAAATGATTTTGTAATTTTACTTTTTTTCAAACTTGCTTTGTCTTATCATGACTTAACCATGTTAATATTTTAAATATAATATCTTTTATTGTTTCTTAATGATTACCTTCCTTGGAGATGTCGACTTGTTAATAGTTTGTAACACGACGGTTTATCATTTACAGTATGTCAATGTCTTGTCATTCATACATGTATTCATGTTAAATATGAGACTTAATTGATTTTAATTACTAATATTTGTCTTCTCATCCTTGAATGCTCAGCTGTTTCCGATTGTTTCGAGGTTAAACTCTCATGAAAACAAATTGTTGATCCTAGAGCCTATGACAATGATGACTTTAAAATAATAATTTGAAATTCCCATGAAAATACATTTTCCCCTAATTTGGTTCAGTCAACCTTGAAATATAAGTTCTGATGGTCTTGTTTTCATCATAAATTTGATGAAAGTGAAATGTTTATAAACATTAAAAACATTAGCTCATAAATTCATTTCCAATGATAGAAGCTGTAATACAATGCAACAAATTAGAGAGTTAATAGCCTGGGCTGGATACATGTTTTCAAGTAAAAGCCAAGCATTCTGGCTCATAAGGATCAACATTAATTGTTGAAGTTACAAGATGCAATTTAATTTGGCCTAAGGTGATGTGAATTCACTGAGAAATATTCCTCGTGTAAGTTGATCAACAATCAAGGCAAGTTTTCCTTTACTTTTTCACTTTTAATTTCAATATCATTCTCTCTTATTTCATGATTATCTAAAGTTGTTTCTCTCCTTTTTTGCCAGAATTATCAAGTTCCAATCATTCTGAATAAACTTTACCCTTCACATTCAAGGCCAAGGTTCTTCTCGGTTATCCACGTTATTGACTTAATCAAGGAAAGATGATCAGTTGATTTGGATGTTGAAAAAGTCAAGTGAAGAAAGCAAAGAGTTTAAAAAAAGATGTTAACCCGTTGTGAGGATCAATCCCGTCAGATCCCTTCATTGATACAGACTTTCTAATCATTTAACTCAAGCCTTGAGCAACTAATGCAATCCTCCTCTTCAATCATCATCATCATCATCATCTTTCTTCCCCTCTTTTCAGCAGCAAACTTCATAACAAATTAACGGACTAAACAACTTCTTCTTTTTGGTATAATCTTTTTCCTTGCTCATGAAATGATCTGCTCCGAATCCGATTTTATTTCCTGGTCTGTTCCCGAGAAAAGAAGGAGTGAAATGATGCCATGTTCCGGTAGCAATGAGAAGAAGAGGAATCAGATGATGAAGATAACGTGGATGACTTTAAAGGTAAATATTGAAGGATAATTTGATCAACAAGTTAAAAGCCGGATAATTTGATGAAAACAAAAACAGATGCTTCAACACTTTTATGTACTGTTGATAATTACCATGCTCATGTTGATTTTTTGCTCAATCAACTGACTCTAATTTTATCCTGATTGAATAGCAATAACAATTGAATTAACCCTGATTTAAATAACCATGTAATCAGTATTATTAGTTGGTAATCAGTTGACCTACTTACCAAATAATATTTACTTTTAAATATTTGTTAAGTTAACCTGTCTGATGTTTGAATATAATTAAAAATTTTCAAGGCAATGAAATAAAGGATCAACACTTGATTTTTATCATCGTCTAAATTTACTTTGAGTTTTTTTTGTTTCGGTAAATTTTCATCTGATATAAAGTTTCAGCTGACAAAAACCATATCAAATATTATATTCTGAATATAAGATTGGAAGGAAGGAGAGTAAAAGGCAAGGAAAAGGGTAAAGAGTAGGTTAACAAGAATAATGGTTTGAAAAACAGTCTAATTACACGAATAGATGTTGATTTTTTTTCGTTTAAGGGATGACAAGGTTTGAATTTTGCAAATTTTATGCACGATTGGATGGTCACCACCGTTCAAATATTATATGTATATATATATAAATATTTTTAACGCATGCTAACAAAAATTAATAACTTTTCCAGTATAATTATTATACCTTAATTAATAATAATAGTAATAGATTCAAGAGCTGTTACCAATAACCTTAAAAAGATTTGTTTGACCAGAATAAGATTTGATACTTTGTAAAAAGTTTTTGGAAGCCCCAAAATGTCTTATACGGTAAAGACCAGGTTTGGTATCTAATGGAATCTCCCATGAAATGATGGCCTCAGAATGTCCTAAAATAATGTTAGTTCGTTTCCAAAAGAATTTAGTATCCAAACTTGAATCAGTACTTATTACTTGATAAGTTCCGTTTTTCTCATCAATTAATCTTTCCACAGTAAGGAAACTTTTTTCGGTCATCAGATCATTACGTGGATGTCCACTGATAAATCGTACAACAACTGTTGATCCTGGTTTGTATTCTTCTTCTGGTTGAAGTATACAGTCGCCAAAATGTTTGGAGTGAGGTGGCGTATCGAAAACAACGCCTGGACGAAGAGAGATTTGACGATTGAGAAGATTGGGTGGATCAGGACCAGGTTCAGGTGTTGTACCATTAACCAAATGCTGTGCCAATTCACTAAATTTCAAGAGATAGGCATCTAAGGTGTGAGGACCGTAAATGGTTGAGGCTCCTTCATAGCGTTGGATTTGATATTCTTCAAATGTGGCCACATAGGATGAGTATGCGTTACTAAGTCCGGCTAAAATCACATGAACTCTGAAAGATAAAAATAAAAAAAGAATAATTAAGAAAAATTGTTACAAAATCTCGTTAAATGATTGTGGGTAATATTATGAAGAGTGAAAGTCTATTTTTTAAATGATAAAATGTTTGTGTGTTAACAAATAATTTTGATTTGAAATGATTTTGTATTTTTCATTGAGTTTGAAGGGCTTTCAATGACATTAATCTACATTGCATTGATACACTAAATCAAGGTAATTTATGAAAGGAAAGTGAGATGAATAGTGAAGTTAAAAAAATTAACTATGAAATTCATTATTCCAAACTAAAGTGTTATATCCGTTCTATGCGCATTATGTCTACCATTGTAAGTTATGTCCCCCCTTGTAATCAAATTGAATTTTTATCAGACAATTTGAATTTCGTTGCTATAGTTTGAGTCATTGAACATCTATTAAACACTTTTGACAAAATATTATTGAAATGATATGAATGTATCATTACAGTAATGAAATAGTAGATGAATGGCTTAACCATAATAATCAAACAATGGACTTGTTTCTATTATTCTATAAGGTGACGTAAACCATAATGATCAAAACAATTATGGATCATTATTATTATTTTATTACCGCATTATTATTATCCTTAAATTATTAATCGTCTAAAAAGATTTCAAAGCTGATTTCGAGGTTACATAACATCAATTCTTGTTAAATCTATTTGTTATAAGTAATTTTTAATCATGATCAAGCTTCGACTTTTAACTTTCAAGCAAAACATTATTAGATGGAAACATTGATTTAATTGTTTCGAAAGGTCATCTTTTCTTCACTAGGTGAAATTGAACAAAGAAACAAAGAAGATGAATAAAACAGAAAAAGAGAAACGATCAAATTCTTAATAAACTTGACTATTGTTTTGGAGACAAAGGATAAGATATAATTTATAACTCATTAAAACCATAGAATGATCATCATATTATTTAGATTATCTAAAACTAGGTGAGTTATAATATCAAGAGCAATAGATGGAAAAACACAATTAACATTTCAATGAATCTAATTATTTTCCCTTTCACATTCTTGCTTCACTTTTTGTTAATTTTTTGTCATTCCTTTTCATAACTTTCTAACTTTAATGAAACATCACTTTCAAACTAGTGGTAATGATCATCATCATCAAACTGGTGCCTGCATAATGATATCCAAGAGAGTGATGGTGATCCAGATGAAATAACCGGTACAATCAAATTGTTACTTCCGACTATATTTGAGGTCAATGGCTAGGCTGAATGTTAAAAGTTAGGATAAAGGTAGCAAGTTATCTCCTCCTATTACTCAATCATCAAAATCATCATTCTTTAAATTATTACTACTGTCATTACCATAACTAAATCAAAGGCATACCTCTATCATATCACACCATACCATCAGATCGAACCAGATACTGCTAATATTAAATAAATGAATAAACAAAACTACAACTGATATAGATTACGCTGATAAACGCAAACAGAAGGTGCGCGCGAAAAGGCTGTAATGTGAATGACAATAATGATACCAGTAATAATACTAATGATAATGCTAATGAATTTTAGAATAAATGGCAAATTCCTTTTACCTGGTTTTGTTTTCATCATCACGAATAATGTTACCATTCGACTGGCTCATTATTTTACCAATCATTGATCGCAATCGTCGTCCTGACATTGTGGTAAACTCACCAGGAGCTCCGGTAAGAACGATATTACCGATTTGAAGAATTTGAAGAGGCACGATTGTTGGCTGCCATGGGTAAGGGAAGTTCATTTGACCCGTGGCAAGAAGAATAGGTTTAGGTGCTTGACAATCAATCAAATCTTGGCTTGGTTTACTGATGAAATCTCTAACTAAATTCCAGAAGAGATTTGATGTAGTTGTACCTTGTTTAAAATCAAATGCGCCAGGACCATCAACAGTTCCTGCAGCAAAACTGTAACCCATTGCTGGTTTACAGGTTCGAGCGATTTTACCATCAGGCATTTCAATTTCAATGGAAGTCATATCAACATGTTGATGTACAAATTTTACAGGTCCAGAGACTGGTTCAGTAGCTCCTTCAAATAACTCAATTGCCTTTGCATATTGTCTTTCTCCAATAATTTTAGTCGATTCAAACATATCTTTTCCTGGCCCTATAGCGAAACAATTACCATTTTTACCTCCACAAGTCGAAGTTTGAATATCACAAGGAAGACCGGTATCAGCACAATGAGGTCCTTTAATATTGGGAGACACATCACCTAAATTTGTTGCGGCAAAAGCTGCTACAAATGGCCCATGTCCAGGTAAATTAATTTCACTTGCATTCATAGCATTGTTGATGTGTGATTCGGTAAGTAAAGATGCATACCCTTTATTATCACCGGATATAAGACTGTTAGTATTATTCATGGATGTTGGATGAACAGCAAACCAAGTTATCAATCCTAGAGGTCGGTCTTTGGTATCCACAAATTTTAGCAAATGCATTTCCTTGTCAGTATCATATTGATATTTACTACGCTCTTCGGCACTGTTGTTAAGATAAGCAGAAGGTGATCTGTTGATAGAGGCGTCGACGAGCATTCCTTTATTATAATAAATGTGTCCTTTTCTTATACAAGAGTGTGCTCTTTGGATACTACGAACGATACCATCCACAATAACATTAAATGATTGCCAGTTGAAACCTTGTGCGGTAATCGTGTAGAGTAAATATTGCAGGTGACCACCTGGTCCAGAATGAGTATGAGTACCCGAGATGAGAACATTTTCGGTTGTATACAGATCTCCATATTTTTCTTGTAATCGAGCAACAACTTGTGTTTTAACTGCTTGATCAACCATGCAGATATCAGCGGATACAAAAACTACTCGATTACCTGAGGTATCTTCGACAATGAAAGCTCGCGAGAAAAGACGAAAATGAATTCCACCTGAATCTTGGCCCAACTTGGCATAACCCATCATATTAACCTCAGCGGCAGGTCCAGTAACATCAGCGATTCCAACACCCAGGACATAGGTATCTCCAGTAGACTTCACTGATGTCTGGTTACAGTAGATGGCTATTGGGACAGTTAAAATAAATAAAAGAGAAATGAAACAAAGATTAATTGACGAATTCATCTTTCTTTTTGCAACAGCTTTTAAATTAAAAGCTATTAGAAGAAGTAAAAATAAAAATTACGAGTTTTCAATATATATATGTCTCTCTTTCTCGTCAATCATTAATTACAGAGATTAATTTTTTTACAGTCTAATAAATAGAAAAGATTGGACAAGAGATTGATTTAGAATAGAGATAAGATCTCAAATCAGAAATCTTGATAGTCAATGTTAAAAAATAATTTGATTTGAATAGAAGTTGAGAAGAAAAAACAAAAGCTCATGTTTTCAATAAAGATTGTACTTTGACAGTAAGTTTCAAGAAAAACACTAGAATTGATATGAATCAGTCTAGAAATGAAACAAAACAAAATCAGGATAACACCGAGACAATAATGAGATAATAAAATTCAACTAATAATTGTTATTTCAAAGCCTTTCTCCTCCCAATTGTGATCCAACACTAGGTGATTTACCTTTCTCTGGAATATCCATTCTTTGGAACAACGATGCAATTGTCACAGTTCAATTATTGTAGCTTAATGATGATTCCCCCACTTTATTAAAGTATTAAGCCAATTTTACTAGATGATACACATGAATTTAAAACAGAATATTAAAATAAAATGAACAAAATATTAAACATTTCACCCAAATAGCAACAGAATCTTAAATAATAATATTTTATTTCAGCAATTTTCATTATTTAACCAAATCTTGACAGCTTAAGCTTTCATCATTCATTCTCTCTCATTCTCTCTTTCTACTTGCCTGTCTTTTGGTTTGTTTATATCTGATATCTGCCATCTATCGCTAAAAAAGATTAACTCCTCACAACAAATTCAATCATTTGTTCAATTTTACAATTGTTCAATCAGTCAGTGAAATTAATCATTCAAAATTGAATTCAGTGTATGTTTGCTCATTGAGTTTCGATTTTAGAATCCATGATAGTCTATTCTTAATGTTGATAAACGTATAAATAAATACCTAAGATATACATTAAAGCACAAGTTTGCTCATTTGTCTTTGGCGGTTTAATTGGATTATGCTTAGATGTGCATAGCTTGTTGTTTTGGTCCAGCTGATTAAAACTGTTAATTTAACAGTGTTAAAAGTCCTAAATCAGGACTCCTGATAAGGACGTTAATTATCATGGATAACATCGAGACAACTGCAAGTGATGAAGTAACAATCAAAAATCTCGTTAAAGAATTAGCCGAAGATTATTCAGATTTTTTCAAAGTCGATACATCTGAAGTGGTAAGTTTATGTATTTATTCCTACCTTTACTTGAAGGGAATCATTTAAATAAATTCTGATTGACTTCTATTTTATTTACTTTCATCTATCACCCACTTTCGCCTATGTCACCTGTTTGTAGATTAAACAATTCGATAACTCAATTGAGGAAAATTTAGTTATCTTGGAAGATTTTTGTACCACTTTGGATATGATAAGGAATAACACTGGCCGGTTGGAACAATCTTCACTTACAATAGCTACTAAGAGCAAAGAAATGGAAGTGTTATACGAAAGTATTGATAAGCTTGAATTATTTGTTAATGTAGTTAAAGATCAAGTGAACAAAATGGAAGACGAACTAATCAAAGCTGAACAATCTTTTGCATCTAGGAGTAAAGTTAAAAAATTCATAACCTCTTTATTATTGCCCAGCATTAAAACAAAATCGCCGTCAACCTCTCCTGAAATACAACCATCATTTGGTTTCGATGAGATTTTCAGAACTCAAGATTATATCGCTAATCGACCCAACAATGTTCCTACTGATTCTGATTCCATTCATTCTTCTGAGGAAAAACCATCCACCTGTGATATCAAAAGTGAACCAAAGGGATAACTCTTGGTTAACTTTAATTATTTTTTGAAAGAAACGAGTTTAATCGATAAACAATCGATAATCTTAAACAAATTATTTGCCAATATTTTGATATTTTTCAAATCTCAACCTAGATGATCACCATTCTAGTAATTTTGCTGATGTTTTATTTTTATTTCCTATTCTCAATCAATTTATGTTTATTTTTGATCAAAATTATTTGTAAAACACCTTACACTTTGTATTGTGTTATCAAACCAAAGTTGTCAACAGGCAACGAAACTCATCAATTTTTCTTGAGTTTCACTCAATCACAATTACTATTGTTATACACAAAATAGACCTAAACAATGTCTAATTTTTGGTTGATAATCAAGTAAATTATACTGACTAATCTTAATTAGCAATATTCTGACTGTTGCTAACTAATAAAAACGTTGTTACATTAAAAAAGTCAGCCTAAAGAGTTATAATTATCACAGACTAAATGATTTAATGTTAAACATCGAGATCTTAACAAATTTGCTTACCAAGGTAAATGAACAGTTTGAAAATAATAATCAAATTATTATAACATTTAATGAGTCAATGAAATAAATCTCAGCATTTTTGCTAGTAAAGCAGAAAAGTTGATTTTCAAAAGTATCTAATAAATAGGAGTGAAATTAGCTTTATGTTAATAAACTGTAAGACGGATAGTCAATGATAGTTGATTAAGTGCTTTGGGTTTGTTGATTGCTTAGCATTGCTTTTGTTTATTTTCAATTTACTTTCAAGTCAAAAGGTCAAAGGAAAACAAAAATGAACAAAAAAACCTCAACTTTTCACTTGTATGAATTGAGTTAAGCACTGAAACAATTATAAAAATAAATTAACAACAATAATCCTTTTCTTCTTGTTATAGTTTATCCTCTGATTGCTGTTACTCATCATTGTTTCCAATGTAAAGCAATTTGGACTACACAAACAAACCTATCTGTACCATTAAACAATTTATGCAATAATTCATTCCGAAAATGTAAATGCCAATGATGAGGAAAAGTCCAAATTACTGAGGAAAAAAGATTACAAGATGAAATGTTTGAATTTGCATGTTAATAGTTAATTAAATGATCCGTATAAATGAGCCCAAACTTCATTTCAAAAGCTAATGGCAGTGTAATATTAAAATATTTGTCTGTTAACAATCAGAGCTACAGATTGAGCCTTTCTCAATCATTTGATCAACATTTAAACGATTGATTTCTGTATTTTAAACACTTAGAGTATGACATTAGATATGATTAGGAATCAGTCAAAATAATGTTTAATTTTGTATCATATTAAAAGGATAAACTAGGTTTGTCAAACTGTGTTGGTTAAATTATTAGGTATAAGAAATTTGATATTCATATTGATTTAAGGATATTAACTATAGAAATGAACAAGCCAATTAAATTATAATTTTTCGATCAAAATAATTTGTTGTGGGCAAATTGAGATGCTTAACATTTGTAAATTAACAACTTCATCTGGGCAAAACAAAGTATAAGTTACAGCAACCAATATGGATGGTAAAATTGTAATCAATTTTGTAGAGATTGGTAAAAAATTAAGTTGATGATTTAATTAGCTTTATTGGAAATGTTTTTGTGGAGATTTTAAATGATGAATGAACAAAATTGAATCTTTCATTGGTCATTCTGATTCAGATGTCTTTTTTAATTTCTTGGTCTTTAAGTAAATTTTCATTTCAACTGACAATTGTCAAATTGTCAAAGCAAAACATTTTAGCATTTTAGGTTTAATGATGGATGTGATTTACAGTTTGATTAATAACCAAATGGTCGTAACTAATGGTCAGCTGTGGAATGATGAACCCAATTTTGTACTGGTCAATAGATTTTTATCATTGATTATCTCTGGTTAACATACTGTTTAATTCCTTTATATATTCAATAGCAAATCGAAGTGTTTTAATTTTAGAGAGATTTTTTTCTGGTGGATGACGGCTGAATTCATACGGAATAGCGTTTCTCAGGTGTTTAAGGGCATCATTTTGTCTGTGCATTCGGGTTCGCTCTTGTTGATTGGCTAAATCACGTTTGCGTTCCAATTCATCTTGTGATAAATTTTTCTTCTTTGAATATTTTTTCCATATTTGGGTTCGCAATTTCCGATTCTTAGTTGTTGATGTTGATGTTGGCATATTTCGAGATGGAACCTCAGGAGGTTGATAAATTGCTTCTAAGGCTGTCGAAGATGATGAACATGTTGAGGTTGGTGATGGTAATGTTGTGCTTGGAATAACTTCCATCTTTGAATATACATCAGGTAAATTAAAAGGAGGCTGATGGCGATGAAAGTAATGATGGTGATGGTAATGTGCGTGTAAATGGTGATAATGATGGTTGTTGAATGGATTCCTTAACTGTAGATTGTGGAAATTAAAGTGATTATTGTTTATTTCAATTCTTCTATCCACATTAACTGTTGCGCTGACAATGTTGCTTACAATATCATCGGTTTCCAAAGCATCATAATCCTCATTGTAATCGGTACAGTTGTTGTCAATAATGTTACGAAAGTTTGTCGATTGGGAATCAATTAAAGGAGGATTCGGTGTTGTTGGTGTTGATAACTCTATGGATTTTGGCGATGATGAGAAGGAAGGTGAAGATAAACATGATGAAGAGGAACAAGTTAAAACATTGTTAACATCATCAATGGATCCAATTGAGGTTGAAATACTTTTAAGATCAATTGATTCTGTGGCAACACTTAATTTAGATGATGTAGTCAATGTTGTTGATGTTGATTCATAAAGATGACCATTAATTTTATAGGATTGTTTTTTTAAATTTTCATAAGCAACGGAATCACTTCTTAGTAGCCATTCAATGGATGGTAATTGGTACGACAATTGGTACGGTAACTTGACTTCATCTTCGTTATAGTCTGCATAATTGTTGGCCTCTGTTGTCAAGTCATTTATATTGAGATAGATTACCTCTGTGTCGAGTGATTTTTTGGTTCCTGATTGAAGAAAAGGAAAAATAATTAGTTTCTAATTTACTGCTAATTTATTAACTGTTAATTTGTTAAGTAGATATTTTCTTACCTGTTTCAAGATGTTCCACATCAATTAACTTTAATGAATCGCTTTTCTCAAAGATTGTGGTCATTATACCTAAGTTTTTCAACTGTTTGCTGATCATTAAAAACTAAAAGTGAACTAAATTCACTTTTTTTCTTATAACATTAGTTAACAAATTGCTTTAGTTTACGCGCCTGCGTTTTTTCCCATCCAAGTTGCTCGTTAATATCTTATTCCTAACTTGCTGAGCCTCAAAAAAGGGTTAAGACAAACCTCCCAAGTTGAGCGTTATGATTATACAATTGTTGAACCATTGTAATAGGTCAGTTTAGACAAATCTCTAAGCATACAATAGAGATGGGATAATAATGGGCTTAAATTTTCTGCCAACATTAATTCAAAATTTCTAGAAAGAAATTTTCTTCTGTATCGAGTGATCCTTTTAATACCAAATCAATTAGATACTTGTGACACTGTGACAACCATTTACGGGCTAACTATTCCTTGAATTATTCACTTGGGTTAAAACTATTCAATTGAATTGATACGCATTTAAATTTCGATTGCTTATTCACATTGGGTTTCGGTTGGTTGTTTAAGACGTTTTCTTCTCGCATCTTGAAACCTCAAACTAACATATCATTGCAGCTTCACAGGTGATCCGCTTGAGCTGGATTTGTATTTGATTTCATTTTTAAGATTTATCTGAATGATTCTTTCCATTTCTTTCGGGGTTATTGGCTTTGTCCGAGTTTCTGCTCGTAAAAGATTCATTAAATTGGTTGTGAATCCAGTGCGAGCCTATTGTCATGCCAATACAAAATTCCTAAGAAATAAATTTTCTTACTTTTATAGTACAATCAAATAACTCTAACATACAATAATTAACTTTTGACAGATACAAAACTTATTAATGCTTCAATTTCAGATTCGACTGTGAGATTAAACTGAAAAAAATTTCTGTACGACTGAGCTCTGTGCAGCGTAGTCTAAAATTTTATTCATTTGCATAACTAAGAAAACTATGAAAAGAAAATTACAATCACAATATAAATATCAGATTTCTTTATGGTGAGACAATTACAAATCGGAAGAAACATCAATTGTAACTTTTTCTCCAGGCTTGAAGGCTGGCATTCCAAGGTAAGGACAGCTTGCACATCGAAAAGCATCACCTAAATAGCACTGATCAATAAAAATAAATTTTTATATCAATATTTGAATAATATCTTTAGTAAACTAAAGTATGCTATTATCAAAGCAAAAAGTAACATTATAAATGAAATAAGGATGAAACTCACACTTCCACAGGATGATTTAGCATTTTGAGAATTGCTTTTAATAGCTTGTACTTCCTCTTTGGCCAATTCATCAGCTAAACCACACGAGCAATTAGCACAAGCTTTTCTTTTTCCAGTGGTGCCACAAACTTTCAGACTTTCTGGATCAGGCTTTTTCAGATCACTTTCAGTCAATAAAGCATTATCGTCAATCAACTCATCGTCATCAAGCAAGTTATCAGCGGCTAACTGCCAGATTGCTTTAGAGTCCTGAACTTGCCCACTCTTGATGGAAACAGCTGAGCCAACTTCGTAATCTGGTTTTTCACAGGTGATTTCATCGAATCTCTCATTAATGTTGACAAATCCTGAAAATTTGATATTTAAAAGTAAAGATGCTGTTTGACAATCTTCTTCTTGTGATTTCTTGATAAACAGTTGTCCTTTTGGACGAACCAATTTGATCAACTGATCCAAAACAGCATCATTCAGTTGCTTGACACTGGGTGTAACATCAATATAACCGTAGAAAATTTTGTGGAAGCTTGAAGGTTGAAGTTTATCTAAAGATATAAAGAGCAAGTAAGGTAAAGGATATATAAGGTGAGTGGCAGAAATAATTATATACCAAAAAAATAACAACTGACCTTTAGTTAATTGCGAAACTTTTTCAACAAATAAATTTCCTTCAGCACCGATGGCATCACGAAGATTTTCAATGATGGATTTAGAGGAATCAATCTTATCCTCACTCGAGCAAACAATCAAAATGTTATCTTTGGAAGAAACTCTGCTCTCCATGACTGTAAAATTAGAATAGTAACTCAAATACTGAATAGGAAGAGGTAAAATAAATTTTAATTTAAGTCCAAAGAGTTACTCTTTGTTTAAGTCGCAGTTAACAATAGTTTACAGTGAAAATGACAGACTCATCTGTAAGAATAGATATAAAATCTGAGAAATATAAATCCAAGAGCGCGCTTTTTAAATATTTTCAGAGCCACATGAATGCATTAAATCTGAACGAAATTTTATATTCAGTTTATGATCAATCATGTAAATGTAAAAATTAAAAAAGCATAGAAATGACATTATTGAGCTTACATTGTGCATCAATGATATATCATTATAATTATATTCTAGTCACTACAGTTCATGTACATGTCATGTATGTGAATAATGTTCAACCTTGAAGATAATTGCATGACCTGATAGATGGCGACTATGGTAAAAATTGACCGATTTGTTGCGTTAAGTGCAGCTACCAGTGTAGTCGATAAGTCTCAATAGCTTTTAATTTTGTGATAAGCTTTATTGTAAATTTTGTTGAAATTGAAAGTAATTATTAATCATAATTTGATTTCACAATGAGTATCAACGACCTCCCTGATGATTGTTTACTCGCCATTTTTGATTATATCAATTACTTGGGTGATTTAACAGACTGCTTTAAAGGTAATTACTAATCATTTTTTTTGTCTTAAACAAGAAAATGAATTTCAATTTTTAAACTGTTGGTCAATAATCGCATTTTTAAGCAATCTAGACGACTATTTGCTGATTTGGATTAATTGAATAGACGAACAGTATGAACAGCTTCCAAAGTTTTAGCTTTGCTTTGAAGTACAATCAAAACCTCATGTCATCTTGGATGTGAGTCACTGGATGATTAAAACAGTAATTAAACGTTTATTTTTACAAAAATCAGCGCCATCTACTATACTACCGAAGCCTACTGTCCACGGTTGGCAGTATAGTTGATGGCGCTATTTCGTTGTAAAAATAAACGTTTAATTACTGTATTGTTATTTGTTTGTTGAAGCGCATTATTTGAATATTTTACAGATGTCTCGTCAAGTTTTAGTTAGTGATTTAATATTTTTTTCATTACAGTTTGTAACAAATGGAGCTATTTAATTGCTGAGCGAACCAAAAAAGTTAAATATTTAATGGGTAAGCTTCGTATTTTCATTAAAATTTATTCAAATTGTGAACCAATTTCTGTAATTCCAAGCAATTTATATTTGTAGCTATTCGTTCTGATTCAAATGATTCTGTTTATTTCACTGGATTGAAACCAATCGATGGAAGTTGTTTAAAGACATTATTTTCAAATTTGCTAGTAAGTTGATATCATTAACCAAATTTCATTTCGATTGTCAGATTAATTACAGTCAAGAAGGCAGCCCATCGTTTTCAGATTGTGTCATCAAAAAATTGTTTAAATATTGTAGATGATGAAATTGATGATCACATTCTTTGCAACTTTTGAGAGGCCTGACTGTAATACATTTTAATAATTTTATATCTTATTAACTTAGATTGCTCAACTATCAGAAGAATTACTAAAAAAAGTAAGCCGCAAGGATGTTGTTGCCTTTTTGGAAAATCAAAAATCTTTGAAAGGATTGATTCTTTCTGATCACATAACTAGCTATTTGAATTTTTTCGATATCGAAATGATTTGCTCAAACTGTCTTGGTGGACATGATACCATAAAACTGAAACGTTTCAATGTGAAACAAATACACACTATGCTCGATCTTCTGCGTAATCTACACAAATATAATTTCTCAAATCTTGAAAGGCTTTCTATCACGAATTACGGTAAGTGATTTTGATTTTTTTTGTCAGTAAAATTTATCAACTATCGTTCATCCTCAGGTTGTGCAAAATGGTACATAGGTCCAGTATTGGCAAAACTCAAAATATTTGAATGCACCCAACCATTCAATGATCTTTCAGGCATTCATCAGAGTTTCCACTTCATCGATTCATGTCCAAACTTACAAAGTGCATATATTGTCGTGAATCGTGATCGCTATTTTGTTAATGAGTCGTTGGAACACCAATTTTTGCAAGATTTAGTTATATATTTTGTAAGTTTCAATTTGATTTATAATAATATAACATATTTGCTTTTGGAAAAATTCTTATAATTCCAATTAACTTAACGTTTTCGAATCAAAATGTGCGAATCACGTTTCACAATAACAGGATACTTCTGTGTAAATTACCATGTAATAAATATAATTTAGTAATAGCTAACTGTTTTTTATATTTATAGAAAGATATTGCTAGAATCGACTGGAATCAATTAAAAAGAGTGATACTGAAATATCCCAAACTCAAACATCTTGCGTTGAGAGCAAAGCTGACCAGAAAAAATGGAAATATCGAAGGTAGCGTGGACATGGAAAATGAATGGATAGAGCAATTGGTTCATATTTTACCCAATTTAGTGTTACTTGATGTTCGCGGGTGTCGTGGAGTCACTCAAACCGCTGATGATTATGTGCAACATTATTGTAAACGATATGGAAGATCAATCAAGTTTTACTTCAACGAGAATCGCCATGAAATCAAATCAGATTGGCCTCACTTATCCACTAAAATCGAAAAAATTAGTCGAGGCTTTGACTTCATGAAAAATTGCTTTTTGAAACGTCCGCATGAGCTTCCATGTTTCTTGATTCCCATTGAATATTTATAAGCACATGTTCATTAATACATTTAAAATTACAATAATAATTAGCAAGGTTATTGTCATAGTTTATTAAATTAGGAGAAGACATGATTTCGTGAAATTACAGCAGATTTACTGGTTAGTAGCTACTGGAATACATGGAAAATCCAAAGACTCTCGTAATTTAATCGAACCGTTTTATGCTTGGTTATTCATTCTATGCTCAACAGAATGTACGAATTTTCAATTAATCTCAAATTTTGTTCAAAAAAAATTGCTGCAGTTCAATGGTTACAATTTCAAAATTACAATAATAATTAGCAAGGTTATTTTCATAGTTTATTATATTAGGTTTCCAATAAAGTTTTGACTGTCTCGAAGCTACTTCCTTTCAAACAATTAACTAATTTAGTTAAATTCATTCAATCATTTTGATTTTCTCTAAAATATTAATTTAATATTTGCTCTTTAATTCTCATCTAATTTCATCATTAGAAACATTCAATTAAATTTTGATTCAATTAAGCCATCATTTTTTAACATTTTTAATTGTTAAATTGGATTGTTGATTGTGAATGATCAACAATTCAGAATCAAGAAAATTGCGTATCAATTGAAAGCTCAAGTTCGCCTGCACATAGGAACTTGACGTCTGACTGTGG